CGTCACTCTGGAACCAGTTGCCACCCTCAGTTAGGCTGTCCCCATCTCTGCCAGTCTTTAAGAGTCACCTAAAAACCCACCTCCTCCACTTGGCGTTTCCTGAACATGTTTGAATTTGGCCATCTTTAATGTTGATTTTATTTCACAGTTTTCATTGGTTCACTTTATCCATTGTTTTACACATTTGTCCTGTACTAGAATGTTTCACCTTTTTTGTAATTTGAACTGCTTTTATTTTCGATTTATTCACCATATTTAACTTTGTCATGTACTATGTTCAGTTAACTTTGTCATGTACTATGTTCAGTTAACTTTGTCATGTACTATGTTCAGCGCCTTGGGCCACCCGACAGGGTTGCGGAAGGCGCTATATAAATAAAGCTTTGATTGATTGATTGATTGATTGATTGATTGATTGATTGATTGATTGATTGACTGGTGACTGAGGGGTGATGAGCTGGGCATTGTCTGAGCCTATAAGAAGCATAGGCTGCACATCCTTAAATGCTTTGATGGGAATGACAACCAGATGTGGGTATCTCTGACAGAGTATGTCCACGGGACAAGATTATTTGGCCAAATTAAGTTCTTCATCAGCAAAAACGTTTTTGTTGTGATGTTTAATTTGGGGAGAGCAGGACACACTTAGTTTGAAAGAAATGGATGCTCCTTGTAACTGCAACACCTCCTGTCTGATGGTCCGAAGTGTGAGGGACTCCTCCATAATTTTAACTGCAGATAATGAACTGCTGCTGATAGAACAATGGTCCGTTCTGAACCATCAATCAGATTTTATCAATCAGATTTTATTTATAAAGCGCTTTTCAAGTAAAGTGCTACTCAAATTGCTTTACAAAATGACCCCAAATTCCCATAACAGTTTAAAAACATTAACAGACACACACACACATCAGTAAAAAATTATATTTGGCTGAGTCCAGATGAGCCAAGTAAGGTAATGCAAGGAAACGCCATCAGAGGAGCCGTCTGCCCCGGCAGCATCAGGTCTTCCACACTAAGTCAGAGCGCTCAGAGGAGGGGGAGCATGGACCCCCACCTCCTCTTAAACACCACCTATAGAGCGCCCAGGAAGCAACAGTCAACCACCGCCCCTGTGGCAGAGGGCCCCTACAGAGAAAACACTGGATTAAAATTAGTAAAGTATGAAAATAAAAGAGCTAATATTAATGTCAAAAGTAAGAAAATAAGTAACAAATAGAATCATAGACAGTAAAATTATAATATTAAATAATAGAACAATGCTAAAATATAATCATATAAAACATGCAAAGCAAGCAATAAAATATAATCACGTAAACAAGAAATCAAACTATAATAAATAATTAGATAAAAGCTAACCTAAATAGACGGGTCTTGAGCCTGGACTTAAAAACATGAACGTTCTCTGCGGCCCCGAGGTCCTCCGGCAGATCGTTCCAGAGGCGAGGGCCGTAAAACTGGAAGGACGCCTCGCATTGAGTGTGTGTCCTGATTTTAGGCATGACCAGGAGACGCCTGCCAGAGGCACGCAGAGGCCGTGAGGGTTCATATGGTAAAAACAGTTCTGAGAGATAAGGCCCAAGACTGTTACGACACTTAAAAACCATTTGAAGAACCTTAAAATTCATCGTCAAGAATGGCGTAGGTGGACAGAGATCGTCCATTACTGTGGAGGGTAACTGGGACAACTTTAAGCATAACTCGGCCTGAATGGGTGGCCTGGTCCAGATACACCATACTGGAAGCTGTACTCAGTGTCAGGATACTCTTGTTTGAGCTGGAGGCTGCTTCATGTAGAATCTGCAGGTGTTGTTCTCCACAAGTGGCGCAAGCTTTCTTCATATTTCAACTGTCAGGCTGATGACTTCGACCACATCTCCAGCATCTCTTATCGTCATTAACCCATGTGACAATCTGTGTAGTGCTCAGCTTACTGAAGTCGGAGCAGGAACTCAAATAATGTTCTGTACGGCTACAAAAGGGGCAGTAAGGCTTTAATTTCTCTCTTGTCTTCCCTTTCGTAGGCTCTTTATTTCCAGTGGGGATTGGAGTGGTATGGTGATGTTGTCATGTTCTGTGGTATTCTTTTGACCCACGACATGCAGAATCAGAGGCGGAAACAGGGAGGCAAGAAAGTAAATAATTTATTTTAGAATGGAGAACTCAAAGCGCTGCTCAAACTGATGCAGGAAGTACCAGGATGTTCTAAAGGAGAGACAAAAGGTTAATATCCGTGAGAGATGATGGGATGGATAACTGAAGGTCTAGGCTTACTGTAAGGAGGTGACTAGAGGGCGTGCGAAGGAGCACTGGTTGGTCTTATGAAGATGGGTTGCAAAGGGGTCTTGATGAAGACGAGATCCAGAGTTCCTGTGTGGTGAGTTTAAAAGGGTTAGGCGGTAGGGGTGTGGTGGAGAGCGTACAGCCAGGAGTTGGAGCTGCATTAAGTGGAGCTGATGAGAAGTTCTTGGAGATGGCTGGAGGGGATGGTTCCTTGAAGGGATAAGAGGAAGGATTAAAGTTGGTCCCAGTCTGTTAGAAATCTGCTTCACAAAAACATTTCTTAGTCTAAGTCTTAATCTTAGCTTGACAATAAATTTTTAATCTGGCTCGAACTACCCAGGTTGAGTAATCATCCGGCAAAATAATTCTTCTTCCTCTTCTTCTTCCTCTTCTTCTTCTTCTTCTTCTTCTTCTATACACCCAGGAGGATGATTGGAGATGAGCTGCAGCTGGCCGTTGCTCCTGCTCTCCAGACACGCCCACCTGCAGAAACATGGTGAGAATAAAAACAGCCCATGACAGATGTAGGCTTGTCAGTGCCATAGTAGATAGATGAGGATATCTATGTTGGGTTTGATGACTTGCCTCTGCGGTCTGGACGAGGTTTATCAGATATGTTACTTTCTGTAGCTCTTCGTGCTCTTCTGGTTGGCTTGTGCTTTCCTCTCCAACCACCGTGCAAAATTTAATTTTTCTTGGCGTCTGGAAAAACTTCTCCAGGAATGCTAAGCTGAGTCCCATTCTGTCCCACTCTTGAGACAGTTCTCCACACCTTCATCTCCTCACGCTTAGACTACTGTAACTCTCTTTTCACGTGTCTGAGCAGAACCTCCCTGAACCGTCTACAGGTGGTCCAGAATGCCTGTGCTTGGCTTCTGACCAATCCTCCAAACACACCCACATCACCCCGCTTCTCCTCCAGCTTCACTGGCTGCCAGTCAACTTCAGGGTTCATTTCAAGATCCTGGTTCTGGTCTATAGGGCCTTACCTGGACTAGCACCATCTTACATTGGTGATCTTCTCAAGCCCTACACCCCCAGCAGGTCCCTGAGGTCCAGTGATCAAAGCCTACTGGTTGTGTAGCACCAGGCTAAAGACCAAAGGTGACAGATCATTTGCTGCTGTGGCCCCCAGACTCTGGAACTCTCTCCCCCTGAGCCTGAGATCAGTGGACTCAGTGGTCTCCTTTAAAAAGCAGCTGAAGACTCACTTGTTCAAGCTGGCTTTTGTATGACCTTCTTCACCACTCTCTCTTTATTCTGCTCTCCCCACCTATTCCATCTTCCTCCGGATCCACTGATTTCCCTCTTTCCTATTCACTCTCTCTCTTTACATTTTTTAATCACAATTGTCTATTTTTTGCTCATTTGAAATATATTTTTAATCATTTTCTAAAAAATTTTTTATGTCTGTCTTTACATTTTTTGTTTTTGTGAAGCGCCTCGTGATTTTTATCTTGAGAGGCGCAATAGAAATGATATTTTCTTCTTCTTCTTCTTCTTAAAATGTCTTTTTAAAAAACTAAAAAATTGAACACGTTTAATGTATCAGTGTATAAATGTAAGTGTTTGTCAGTGGGGATAAAAGTATTAATTTGTCATTCAGCATAGGTACGTGAATCAGAACTGTTACCCAGGCCAACCTAAAACAAAAAATAACCTAAAGTCATTCATTTAAATCATATTACAATCACAAAAATGTGGAGGCAGTGTAAGGGACAGATAATTAGTTCTACAGTATGGGGGAAGAAGCTGTTTCTCAGTCTTGACAGGGCAACAAGGCAACTTAATCAGCGCCCCAGGGCAGCTGTGGCTACAATGTAGCTCATCCCCACCAGGGTGTGAATGTGTGTGTGAATGAGTGAATGATTGTGTTGTAAAGCGCCTTGGGGGTACCCCGATTCTAGAAGGTGCTATATCAAACAGGCCATTTTTAATCTTTTATCCGAAGAAACGAGTGTGAACGATGAGTAGGAAGGACAGGGGTCCATCATTGTGTTCTTTGTTTTGCTTCTATTGCTGCTCTAATAAGAGAGGCTGCTGTTGATCATTTTAAAGCAGATCTAACCACATCAGTCTCAGAAGCTGCATCCACCATTCTGTTATCACCTGGTCCTTACTCAACAACCTCGCCAGTACATCCAGATCATGTGTTCCTAGCCCCTGCCACATGATTCTGTGCCTTCCAGTTCTTTCCCCACTATTTTTTCGGCATGTGTTCGATTAGTTTCAATAAAACTATTCAGGCATGCTGCTGCGGCTGCAACATATTACCTTCTGCCCAACCCTAATCCTAACCAGACTCAGGTTCAGTAGACAATCTGTACATTCTAACCAGCAGGATGAGTGATGCCATCAACAGCAGCATCTGCATTCAGCTCACTCTCTTTTTGCTTTGGGTCAAAACAAAGGATAAAATGTGTTGGGCTCCTCCTACAGGACGAGAGAGGAACAGCACCTCTTCTGGTTTCCTGCAAACACAAGACCACCGGAATGTTGGGAAACTGTAAGCTGCTTTCCAAATCTTTCTCTCCCTTTTATTTATATTTTGTAAATTAATAAACAGTAAGATTATTTAGCACTGTGAGAAAATACGCGACATTTTACTGTCTTATGCGCAAAATAATCTCGTTTTTATACGGCTTTTTTCAAAGTAAACGTCCATAATTTTGTATCGGTGTAGTAAAATTATAGTGGTGTGCGCGTGTGTGCGTGTGTGTGTGATGGCAGCCTGTACTGAGGCTGCTCTACGCTGTTTTTTATCCCCAGGACGCAGAATCCCCATAAATCCTCGCTCCTCTGCTCGGAAAGGCTGTATAATAAAGACGTCACCCTGCTGCTCCGGCTGCTTCACCCAAGTGCGCAGCAGCTATTTGTAAGCCGCTCCAGCTCCACCATGCCCGCGGAGAACGTGGGGATTTCTCTGACATCCACTCGCGTGGAAACGAGATTTGCGTCAGATCCACAGCAGAGACAGCCCTAAAATTCCACTGGATCTCTCTACAGAAGTAAATTACTATTTTTTTTTTTAAAAGGACTCGATCGCATTGCGGGCCACATTATCGCACCTGAGACCCAGGACGTGGATTTAAAGGTATGTAATAACTGCGACACTTGGATGCATGGCTGTGGACGCGCACACCGTCATTGTGGAGCACGGTGCGCACGTTTTTAAAGTCTTGTGCATTAAAATGGGTGATGTGTAGCTGCAGGACGCATGTCTGAGGCGTGCACGCGTCGATGCCTAGATTTAAAAATAAAAAGGTCTTTGACAAATTTCCGAGCTCCGTTTTAAAATCGTGCTGGTTTGTGGTCGGATTTTAACGCAGATATTTCAGCTAATGTTCACTAAGATGATTGTGAAACACAAAAAAAAGAGTACTACGCACTTTTCTGCTCTGTCGAGGCACGCCCACTCCAGAGCAGAGTGGACACCCTGTCTCGAGGAATTGCGTCATTATTTATTAAGAAACTCATATTAACACTTTATTTGTCCGCCGATTTTATTATCAAACCATTATGGAAATATAATCAGGGCAGAAAAGCTCGCGCGCTTCGAGGAACCCCTTCGATGCGTGTTTTCTTCCTTCCCTGTCAGTTTTGTTTTGCCGACAGAGGGGGGCGCTGTTTCTCACAGTACGCAGGATAAATAGGGAAGTGTTTTTTTAAAGGGGGAGATTGACCAATAATACCCTCTCAAATTGCATTAGTAGAGGGCTCAAAGGGAGTTAGACTTTTTTTATTTAATGGCTAAAATCTTTTCCAGAGGAAAAATACAGATCAAAAATACCTAAGACACTTTCATCTTTAATCTGCAACTTCTGCTTTAAAATGATCCATAAATACATTTACTGTAATAAGCACGCATATTGTTTGATTATGGAACAGCAGTCGTTTTACTCAGGAGGAAATCTGTTTAAATGGAGAATGGATGCTGGGAAAAATGTTGGTCATTTGTGAATCTGATGGATTCTAATGGAGACATTCTCTAAATTGACATTTTAAATGAACAGGAAGTGGCGTAAATAGCACCCAAAGCACAAATTGTGTAATTACGACAAGTTATAGAATACGTTTATCCCCGAGTAACACACAATAACAACTATGGGGTGAATCTTTTACACAGAATGACGGTTTATATGACAGTAAATCTTTTGCCTGAAAGTTTTTAGTTAAAAGAATGTAACGTTGAATTGGAGATGGTTTCTAAAATTCTTGCTTTTGTTTTTAAGGAGTCATGGATGAAATGGCTACAGTAGCCCTGGCTCCTGCCTCTGCTGCTGTCCCATCAACCCCAAGGCCTCCGCCTTGCTCGTTTACCCTTTCCCGCAGCCTTTTGGAGTGGAGACGAAGGGTAAAGTCTGAGTATATGCGCCTTCGCCAGCTGAAACGCCTTAAAAAAGTCGACGAGGTGAAGGTGGGTCAAGTCAGAATGATGGATTATTGTATACATCCACATCTGTATTTTTTTACGTTGATCCACTTTTTGTGTGACTTTGCTTTGTTTTCAGACCTTGTTCATGTCCAACAGACAAAAGATTGAGCAACAGACAAATCTGCTGAACACAGAGTGGTCCAAGCTGAGGATTCAGTCCGTCCCCATATCAACGTTTAGTGGAGCTCTGGCCAATAAAAAGGTGTTTTCTCTTTTCAAAATCATCTTAAATGAAGACCTTTATAGAATCAGAAAACTGCCTGGTTATGCTTAGAGTTGTCTGAGGTCTCTTCTGGTTCCTTTTCAGATGTGTTCAGTAGAGTTTGGCTTCCCGGGGTTTAAATCTCAAGCCGTTCCCATGAAACCACTGTCAACGGTGGCGGGGATCCCCTTCATGTACTCCTGGTCGCCTCTGCAGCACAACTTCATGGTATGATATGATAAATTGTAAGAGATGCACAAATGTCAGTATGGCTTCACGGTACACATTTTTAATAAAAGAAAATGAATCAAGAAGAACACAATTGTTGTTATGTAACACAGCAAAATGCTTTCTGTGACAACTTCAAAGCGATGAGAGCATTACAATAACAGAAAAACACAATCTATAAAACACCAGTGGAGGCTGGGGAATTATTGGTGGGTGGAGCCATGACTGAAAAGGTTTCCCTTCTCCAAACAAGCAGATTTACAGATGAAGTCAGTTACCAAACCGATCAATTAGGCAATAATAATACTAAAGTTGTGTAAACAAGCATGCTGTGCACACCGTTCTACAGAACAAAGTAACAACTGCAGCCATTAAGGTCCTTTTCATTCCTTGTTCACTTTTTTTTTTACTTCAGATTGTTTTCCAGCTTGAAGTGTCATTCTTGAACAGCCAGCCAATGTGCCCACCTAGAAGTGCAATACTCTGTTCCACCCTTAGATGGCACTAACATGACAGGAATTAGAAATCCTGTTTTGAACCTTATAATCACGTAAAAATTAGACCAAATAAAGATTTTACCGCAATAGCTAAATGGATTATTTCAGCTTTATCTATATGAATCAACAGTGAGTTCATGTGAATAAGGGAGTAAGAGGGAAAAGAAAGTCCAACACCCTCTAGCATGCTAGCTAGCTATTCCCTGTAGCAGGGGTGCTGTTAAAGACATCATACTTAAACGCAGCTTGGACCCATTCCCAATACTCGCTCTGCAGTCTTCAGCAAAGTGCTCTTGGAGAAAGTGCGCAGTAAGGCTTTGAGTGTGTGGTACACAAGTGTGCAAAAAATTGCAGAATTGAGACAGGGAGCATTGCATCATCGATCGTGCCAGGATTTTGAGGCCCAGAGGGGGCTTATTTTCGAACGGGGGGGGGGGGGGGGGGGGGGGGGCACACACAATATTTTAGGTTTTTTGTGAAAACAAGTCCAGGACTACAAATGTGCTTCACGAAAGTGACATCATCAAACCAGACACGGAGAAAAACAGAAGGAAATGGCTGTAAGTTTAGTGAACTTGAAATCCTCCCATAAATCTGGCCATGTGGTGAGTAGCAGCTACTTTAGGGGAGAGGAGATTCTGTGGTGACGTCACATATGTGATATGTCTGATTTGTAGTCATGCTAAATACGAACTCTTACAAGCTGAGAAATCTCAAAGTACGTGACTGGCGTTGTCGAAACACCCATCATTACTTTTCATTTAAATTGCATTACAACATATGTGCGATCCAGGGCGTAAGGCAAAGCAGATTAGAAAACAACGTTTTTAGCCCCGTTGACCTGCATTCATTTTTTCGTTCTTCTGGGGACCCATGAGCCGACCGGAAAGGGAGGAGACTTAGGCTCCCGCCATTGATTCCAGGGTGGAACTCTAACACCCCCTATGGATGAGCCACCGCTGTACACAGTTCATGTTCACATAATAGAATATTTTTTAGTCTGTTCAAGTCACCTGATATCAAATTAGAACCCATTAGAACATCAACCTGATTCTGACTTTGTTGGTTAAAATCTTGTTCCATCAATCTAAGTGTAAGAAATCACACCACCAGTTCACAACCTCCTGTAAATTCTACAGTAATTATTCATATCAATCCTAAAACATTTTTACTTTTATTTTCATTTTTAAATCATCTGTTAAATTGTCATGTCTGGGAACTTAGCTGTCTTTACTAGTTTTTTTTTATGTTCTTAAACTCTTTGGTTGTAGTGTCGGGTTGAGTCTCAGGAAATACCATGACTGTGTTTACAGAGGTTTGTGTTTTAGGTGGAGGATGAGACGTTCCTTCACAACATTCCCTACATGGGTGACGAGGTCCTTGAACAGGATGAGGCCTTCCTGGAGGAGCTCATTGACAACTATGATGGTGTCCATGGCGACAGAGGTATGTGCTGCATGTAAAACCCCCTACATACTTTTACAAGTCAGACTTTAAAGTCAAGATTTTGCACAACATAATTTAGATTAAGATATTAATTTGCAGGGTTTCGTGATGACAATAAGTAATTTTTTAATTCTTCATTTTGGCCAAATATATATATTTTTTTCAAGAATGAGCATGTTAGATCATAAATAGGGCTGCACGATATTAGGAAAACCTGCGATATTTGATAACAATGATTAATATTGCGATGACGATATTACTTGCGATAAATAAAAACTTAACTCAGGAACAAAAATAATCAAAAACAAAGAAATAAAAAAAGAATAAAAATGAGAAAAGCAAAAGATGTGAGGAAAGGGGAAAAGAAAATGAACAAGAAAAGGCAATCAGTGGATCCCGGGAACAGCTGAATCAGCAAAAAGAGCTGAACAAAGCTAACTCAGGTGTTTGCTAACCATCAAAATGAAGTGCCGTCCACCTCAGGGGCGGGCATCTAACCTATGCGAACCCACCCGATTGGCCAAATGGGTGAAGAGCTCTAATTGATTTGTTAAAAAAACATCATGCTTCTGTTTGATTGACAGAATGCATTATGTTTCACCTTTTAGTTCTTTTTAAAACACAGAAAGGTTTTATTTACCTGCAATGTTTCGTTTGCGGCTGCAAACGAAACATTGCAGGTAAATAAAACCTTTCTGTGTTTTAAAAAGAGCTAAAAGATGGAATTAGAACTTCAACACAACAAGAACACACCAAAGAATGCATTATGTGTAGCAAACATTTGAGCTGACCATTCATTGCGATATTTATCTGTTCTTTTTGATATGCATATTGTGCATGCTGATGTCGCGATAACGATATATTTACAATATATTGTGCAGCCCTAATCATAATATAAAGAAATCTCCAAATTATGAACAAAACAACAAATAATGCTAATGGTTAAAAAGAATCTCTGAAATAAGTGGTTAGCGTGGTTACCGCTGTTGCAGTCCCTATGCATGCTTGGGTTCTCTCCAGGTACTCCGGCTTCCTCTGACTCCGGCTTTCCACAGGAGCCATCAGCAGCACGTTACTGCAGCAGCACGTCATAGCTGCTGATAGGAACCGCTGTGGTCAACAGAACCTTTTCCACAGGAGTCGTCAGCAGCACGTTACTGCAGCAGCACGTCATAGTTGCTGATAGGAACCGCTGTGGTCAACAGAACCTTTTCCACTAGAGCCGTCAGCAGCGCGAGTCGGCCGCGTCTCAGGAGCAGCATGTCGCGGCCTTTTCGCGCCGGTTCTATTTTCTACGCGCGACGCCTCTGAAACGGGTCAAGTTCGACATTTTTGGGGAAGGAAAGACAGGAAATCGGACGCGGAAATGGAGAGAAGCTCCCGAGATTTTCAGAATAAAGAAACGTACTGCCTTCCGGTTGCTTTACTTTTAAAAAAAGTTACTAAATGTGCGGCCCCGTGAGAAGTTATCACCTAGCTGGCGGTCTCCTTTGTTTTTCAGGTCCGTATTGGCGATTATAAAACGGACAGAACATAAAACACAAAACTTTTGGAGCCATGTTGTAATTTTCTCCTGCTTGTTGTTGTGTTTACTGACGAAGTCACTCGTGTGACTTCGTGCTCTGTCGGTGACAGCTGCTCCCCTGCTGCTTCGCATCTCGTGGGAAGGGCCAAGATGTGCTGCTGCAGTAACGTGCTGCTGACGGCTCAGGTGGAAAGCCGGGGTAACAGTCCAAACACATGCCTGTCAGGTTATTTGGTCTGTCTAGATTGTCCGTAGGTGTGAGTGTGTGTGCATCGATGAGAGTCTCTGTGTTGCCTTGCGATGGACTGGCAATCTCTCTGTGTACCCCACCTGTTTGCCCGTTTGCTGGAGATAGCCCCCCCCCCCCCCCCCCCCCCACACACACACACACACACACACACAACCCTGTATGGACAAGTGGGTTCAGGTAATAGATGAATGGATGGGTGGGACCTTACCTAAACTCTTTTGAGAATCTAATGGTCACATATTAAAGAGGTAATTTAACAGGTTTTTTTAACCTGTTCTTTGGATTTCAGAAGGGGGGTTCATTAGTGACGAGATCTTTAAAGAGCTGGTGGATGCCTTGAGCCAGTATTCTGACCAGGATGAGGATGAAGACGAGGGAGCCGCAGCGGTGGAAGTTACAGCCAAGAAAGAGGAAGAGAGGATGATGAGGAGGAGCTCATTGGAGGGTTCGGAGGAGAATAAAGCTGGAGTATTAACCAGGAGAAAGAAGAGAAGTGCTGCAGAGGGTGAGTTTTAGAGTACGTCAGTGTGAACAAGGCACGTACTGTTCTTTTTATTTCACAGTGCAGCTGCCACAAGATCGCCCCGCCATAGCAGCGCAGGAACTGGCATTGTTGCTTTAAAGCTGCCCTTGTTCCTCTGTGTGCTTTGTTTTCAAGGCAACTTGTTTGTTCACGACACTGATCTGACCTGACTCAAATTACGAAACTCTCCTGTACACGGATTTGTTGGAAAGTGAACTGTATGCAGCCTTTAGCGCGATCACTCAGCCACTGCATTTCAAATGCATCTTAGAAATCTATAAAAACAGACAACTACACCTTTCAACTAATTGATTTCCCCTGCCGGCTGCTTTTATAACATGTTGTTATCTCTATCTGGCCTTGAGGATTGAGAAAGCGGCACTATTGCAAAATGTTTAAAAAGAAAAAATAGCTTCATCTGTATTTGTGATCAAAACCAGATGTGTGCACAAGTGCTATTTGTCTGTGTAACGGATCTTTTAATGTGTGTCCAAAAGTGAAGGATTTGTCCAGCAGCAAGAGGATTCCCAGCGATAAGATATTCACAGCTATTGCCTCCATGTTTCCCTACAAAGGCACCACGGAGGAGCTGAAGGAAAAGTAAGAAAAGTCCTGTCAATTGAGAGATCTATGCGCACCATGCTGGTAGCCTGTTGCTTGGTGTTCACCATGGAGATGCCAGCAGTCAGGGGGGTAAAGCAATAATGGCAGCTTCCTCTCAGGCTTTCTGACTCAAAGGGGTAATTGCGTCAGCATCTGAAAGAGCTTAAAGACACAGATTTGCATTAAAGACACAGATTTGCATTAAAGACACAGATTTGCATAACTCTCACACAAACATATGAATGCCACTGAGTAAAGAAACCACATTACACGTTTTTCTTTCCACTTCCTCCACAGATACAAGGATTTGCTGGATCCCCCAAGTCCAGTGAAGCTGCCCCCCCTCTGCACTCCAAACCTAGATGGACCTTTTGCAAAGTCTGTGCAGAGGGAGCAGTCGCTGCACTCTTTCCACACACTCTTCTGCAGACGTTGCTTCAAATACGACTGTTTCCTCCACCGTAATGACTCCATTTTTGTAGTTCTCTTATCAGTGTGCACTCTGATTATCAAAGCTTCATTAACGAGCGCAGGTGAAGCCGGTGTTGAGATTGTGCTTGTCTCTGTTGGTTAAGCTTTCCATGCAACACCCAATGTTTACAAGAGGAAAAGCAAGGAGATCCGCATGGAGACCGAGCCGTGTGGGGACAACTGCTTCCTGTTGCAGGTCTGATAAAACAAGATTCCTCGATCGACCTGCCGTTTCTGTGCTCTTAAGAGTGCTTTTGTGTTTCTCCCTTCCTGTGAAGAAAGGGGCCAAAGAGTTTTTGGATCAGAACATGCTGCGCTCGCGGAGATCTCGGAGGCGACAGAGGCAGCAGCGTCCCACCAGCTCCAGTTGTACCGGACCTGCTGGGTCTGCCGAGGAAAGCAAGGATGGGGACAGTGACCATGAAACCACTTCCTCCTCAGGTAGGGAAAGATGTTTTTTTTAAAAGCAGAACTATCTCCAACATGTTAGAAACTGTATTCATGACAGGAAAAGACAGAGCTATCTAATCAGCTCGTGTGTTTGGGGAATCTGCTCCTTGGGTTCAGAAAGTACAGCTTGTTTTCATGCATTTCTGTGACTCTGAGCCAGTGAAGAAACATATCATTTACCAAAACATCCCCTGTTTTCCTCCATTCTGAAACGCTCTCTGGCCTAACTGCGCTCATTCTGAAAGGGAAAATTTGGCGTGAGATGACAGCTTTCCAGTCATATCCTGCTTTTCTCTCTTTTTACGTCTTCCAATATGAGCCGTCTCTTGCCAAGCAAAATAAACCAAACATTATTATTTTGTGATTCAGCCTCTGTAAAAACGCGGTCTTCCATCCTCCTCCTTCAGCTCGTTTTTCCTCTTCCTTTATAACTTTTGCAGACATGCAGAGCAGCGAGAGGGCCATTGCAGTAAACCCCTCTGGCTCTTTCTACAGGTTTCCGTTAAGGCCTTGCGGAAAGTGGGTTTTGGAAACTCCTGGTGATCGGCCAATGACTCAGCAGACTTTCTCACATTTTTTGTGACTGTGGAAAAAACAGCTTGTGGAGCAGATTATTAAAGAGCATAAAGAGCCAGAGCGTGTGGCCACAGCAGATCTCCATTCAGCCTGTTGCCAGGCAACATTTGGCTCTGATGATGTGACTCATAGATTTAAAGAAGCATCAATTTTGAATAACTAAAATAGAAGTCCAAATGCAATTGTTTGTGTACATGGATATAAAACAAAGGATATTTAGAAATGCCAGTGTTAGTCTGAGGACGTTTGAGAGCAGATGAAAGCTGTCAAGGCTTTGGAAAGAAAACGGAAAAGTCTTTGCTTGTGCACATAAATTCATCAAGTCCCCACCAAAAATAGTGGGTCAGTACTACTACGGTGTTTTTGTGTGATATAGAGGGGAATTCCCGCTGTCAGACTCCCACCAAGCTGCGTCCAGAGGAGGATGACGGGGAGCAGCAGGCATGCGGTGTGGTCCAGTGGAGCGGCGCGGAGGAGTCGCTGTTCAGGGTGCTGCACGGCACATACTTCAACAACTTCTGCTCCATCGCCCGCCTCATCGGCACAAAAAACTGCAAAGAGGTGGGGATAGTTTCACTTTTAAAACTAACTTCTGACTCCTAACTCCAAAAGTCATCTCTATGCATTTCACATCTGCTCAACCGCGATAAATATGTAGAAAATAAAATGAAACCAGGAGTATTTCAGAGAACTATAACTAGAGGTCGACCAATATCGTTTTTTCTATTGTCAGTCCCGATGCCGGTGTGTACTGCCAATTTTTGTGGCCAATACTAGACGTTTTCCACATTATTAGCTTGCTAAAATATCCCTGATAACATCAGTTGGTGCACAAAATTTCTGAAGCTGAAATAGTTTGTATGCTTTCAATTTATCCAATTGTCAAATCTTAATTTTGCGCACTGTTCAGTGTTAAAATCAGACATCTTAATAAAGTTAATCAAACAAATCAATAAACTGACCAAGTATTAAATATTCAAAACTGGTTAATTTTAGTTGAAAATAGCTTTAGAGCATTTATAATTCAGTTGTTATTGAGGAATGTAAATATTCATTTAAATAAGATTCTGAAACAGCTCCAGGCTGCCCGGGGATGTGCCTGACTCTAAATCGCTTTACTAAGGATTCACATCAGCCAATGCCGATATATAAATGTTAAATATCGGCCCGATGTACTGGCCGACCAGTCTACCCATACTAAGAACTATTTCGAGAGAAGTGGTTTTACATATTGCTATATATTACTAAAAAAACTCATTTATCATGGGAAAGATTCTTTTTAGAATGCTTGTCAACAAACTACCCTAAAAACCACTTAACAGATTTGTTTGAAAGTCTCAGAATGTAATAATTAGATGTGTTTCTTCTAGAGTGTACCCAATTATGTATTGCTGCCACAGATTATCAACATAAACATTAAGAAAAACGGCTTAAGTCAGTCATTTTTTACAGCTATTCAGCTGAAAGTTGGTGCGTAAGTAGCCAAGAGCCGTCCCCATCCTGTGATCTGTATCTGAAGACATCCTTGTTTCCATCTTTGTGGCTGAGACGAGCCTGTTTGTCTGCAAACAGTTAGTTCATTTCTTCACTTTTAATCCCTAAACTACGTATGATGCTCTTAAACTGAATCATAGTTGTTTTGAATCAACGCAGGAGGCATGATTGTGCAAATGTTCTCTGCTGGGTTTGTGTCATTCAGGGCTAGTGTAACAACAGATGCGTGTTGGGCTTGTGGTTTTATGACGTAGATAATGAACGTGTGTCTGGACCGAGAGAGTCTGGCATGTGGCACCGTAAACAGGGAGTCTTACCAGATGCTACATTTCTCATATTTACTCATGATGCAAGTGTTCAGAAAGTCCCCGTTTGGTGTCAGTCCAGCAGAGGCAGCTGGTGAAAACAGTTTCTGGTGTGGTGTTTTGGAAGAAGATGTCCCTCCTTGGTCCCATTTTAGGTATTCAAATGAACAGTTCCAATTCCAAACCGATCATTAATTTTCCCGCTCCAAATCAGCAGCTTTTCAGATAAACTCAGTTATCAAATGTACAGATAAATTCATTTATAATATTATACAAATAAGTGCACAAGCATACACCGTTCTACCAAATATTAAAGGGACAATGTGTATTTTCCCTGGCAAGTGGTATTTTTGTATTTGAGTAAGACTTTAGCAACGGATGGCCATTAGGGTCAAAATCCCTGGGAGTGCAACCTCCAGCAAAATGACAAGCACACCAGACTGCCTTTCATCACAGGGAAAGAGCGAAGAGGTAAATGTGTAAAACAACAACATTTATGAATGGTAAAGGTTTTCCAACTGTTTCTTACAAATCAGTAAATGCATTTTGTCCTCACGGGCTCCCATAGGAAGAAACATGACATCTAATAGGACGTCGCCCAATGACTTAGACCTGTTTATTTTAGACCCGATTTTTTATTGGGTTTATGTTACAAAGCTTCCAATATTTTTCAACAAATCTGCATACATTAATTTCTTTTCAACAACATTTTGATGGATATTTCCAGAGATTCATGGTAAAAACTACTCATTGTCTCTTTTGCAACTGCAGTCTATGGCTGTGTCCAAATTCAGGAGTCGCGTGCTCATGAGGTCATAATTTAAGACCAGTGACATCACAGCGCCGCGACAAAGACTGTCAAAATTCAAAGAGTGCTCAGAACAGGGATGGGCCTATTATTAAAGGCTAGACTGTCCAAATTCACAGTTGTTAACATCTGGCCTTAACGGTCCCAGAAGAACGTGTGTGTGTGTGTGTGCTTGTGTGTGTGGGTGTGTGTGTGTGTGTGTGTGTGTGTGTGTGTGTGTGTGTGTGTGTGTGTGTGTGTGTGTGTGTGTGTGTGTGTGTGTGTGTGTGTGTGTGTGTGTCCCTCCACACAGATGCACTCTTGTGTCTGGCTTCCTCACCATAGCTTGGACAGGAGATAGACTGGGGCAGGATGTTTGGGAAGACTTTTTTATAGCAGCTTGCATGATATTGCACAACATAACTGCAACAGTGGCCCCCTTGTTGTTGCTTTACACAACCGGTTAGTTGAACAATGTTTTTTTGTAATGTCTCTCTCAGGTGTACGAGTTTGCTGTAAAAGAGGTTCTGATTCATCGCGTTCCTTTGGAAGATGGAGGCATCTCGCCACAAAAGAAGAAAAGAAAACACAGGCAAGATCCTGACTTTCATCACCCAGCATGGAAACGGTAGAAACGATGTGTTTGCTTGAGCTTGTGAGTGAACCACTGGACAGATCCCAGTCTGGAGTCATCGGATGCTCATCCACTACTCACTGACCTTTGGAGCCAACTTGAATTTCCATTCCAGCCAAGTGGGCTTAGTAAACACCAAACAGGCTGTTGGATTATTTGTGTGATATAATCTGACCTGGGTTACTCTTCTCCAGGTTTCTATCTGACACTTGGTAGCTAGTTAAAACTGGCTGATCTCATTCCACAATCCTGTTCATGTAGCATAGGATTTGTGACACACACATGTCTTGGCACATTGCCTTGTACTGAACCCCAGCTCTAGAAGCTGAAGGGCCTTTTTTGTCTAAAGAGCTCCGGGTCCCCTTTTTGTGCTTGTACTATTGTCTCAGCTTTTTCTATATGGACCAAAACAAAACTGAATCATTGCCTCGTCAGTATTACTGTGTTAAAGTTACGGAAAGAACCAGGAAGTTTCAGACCCGACCATATCTAATTAACCTTGTCAAACATAAGAATGGCTGCACATCCATCAGCTGCTGAAATGTGATGTTTTAGAAGTTGTGAGTCAACAAACACCAAATCGAGGTCTTGCGTTATGATGTGTATGATCTGAGATCATACACATCATTTAACCAAAACTATAAAAACTGTCATTTGTCAACAAATCAAAAATATAAGCTAGCTCTCTTCAGTGGATGAGGCTAGGCTGTTTGATATATATATATATATATATATATATATATATAGGTCCTTCAAAAATTTTTTGCATATTGTGATAAAGTTCAGTATTTTCTGTAATGTACTGATAAACATTAGACTTTCATATATATTAGATTCATTACACACAGCTGAAGTAGTTCAAGCCTTTTATTGTTTCTAATATTGATGATTTTGGCATACAGCTCATAAAAACCCAAAATTCCTATCTCAAAAAATTTGCATATTTCATCCGACCAATAAAAGAAAAGTGTTTTTAATACATAAAAGTCGACCTTCTAATAATTATGTTCATTTATGCACTCAATACTTGGTCGGGAATCCTTTTGCAGAAATAACTGCTTCAATGCGGCGTGGCATGGAGGCAATCAGCCTGTGGCTCTGCTGAGGTGTTATGGAGGCCCAGGATGCTTCGATAGCGGCCTTAAGCTCATCCAGAGTGTTGGGTCTTGCGTCTCTCAACTTTCTCTTCACAATATCCCACAGATTCTCCATGGGGTTCAGGTCAGGAGAGTTGGCAGGCCAACTGAGCACAGTAATACCATGGTAAATAAACCATTTACCAGTGGTTTTAGCACTGTGAGCAGGTGCCAGGTCGTGCTGAAAAGTGAAATCTTCATCTCCATAAAGCTTTTCAGCAGATGGAAGCATGAAGTGCTCCAAAATCTCCTGATAGCTAGCTGCATTGACCCTGCCCTTGATAAAACACAGTGGACCAACACCAGCAGCTGACATGGCACCCAGACCATCACTGACTGTGGGTACTTGACACTGGACTTCAGGCATTTTGGCATTTCCCTCTGCCCAGTCTTCCTCCAGACTCTGGCACCTTGATTTCCGAATGACATGCAAAATTTGCTTTCATCTGAAAAAAGTACTTTGGACCTATGAGCAACAGTCCAGTGCTGCTTCTCTGTAGCCCAGGTCAGGCACTTCTGCCGCTGTTTCTGGTTCAAAAGTGGCTTGACCTGGGGAATGCAGCACCTGTAGCCCATTTCCTGCACACGCCTGTACACGGTGGCTCTGGATGTTTCTACTCCAGACTCAATCCACTGCTTCCACAGGCCCACCTCTTCTCGTTGTGCAGCGTTTTCTGCCACTCTTTTTCCTTCCCACAGACTTCCCACTGAGGTGCCTTGATACAGCACTCTGGGAACAGCCTATTTATTCAGAAATTTCTTTCTGTGTCTTTGGCCTAGTCCACACGTAGCTGGGTTTTTTTAAAAACGAATATCAGCCCCTCCAAAAACTTGCATCCACACCACCTCGTTTAAAAAAAAAACTGTCCACACGTACCCGGATAAATACGTTGTTAAGGACATGCCAGACCTGTAGGTGGCAGTACTTCCCCCGTTCTTAACCTCGTCCTTCGTCTGTGGTCTTCCGCAAGGAGCAGTAATTCCGCTTGCAAAAACAAACGAGCAAAAAGCGCTTGGACAATTGATAAAGCGAGCGTAGCTCTGAGGGCATCCATGCTGTCGGCTAGTGTAAACACAGGTCGCACACGTGATGTCAGCATTTTTTTGTCGCGGAAAGTGACGTTGCGGACCTTACAACTCCGGTTTTGTTTGTCCACACGCAGACACCCAAAACGGAGAAAACGCAGATCTTCACTTTGGCCGGAGTTTTTAAAAAGATCCGTTTTTGTGTGAAAAAACTCCGTTTTCATGTGGATGACAGGCCAAAACGTAGAAAAATATCTACGTATTGGCAGATCCCCGGCTACGTGTGGACAGGGCCTTACCCTCTTGCTTGAGGGTGTCAATGATGCCCTTCTGGACAGCAGTCAGGTCGGCAGTCTTACCCATAATTGCGGTTTTGAGTAATGAACCAGGCTGGGAGTTTTTAAAAGCCTCGGGAATCTTTTGCAGGTGTTTAGAGTTAATTAGTTGATTCAGATGATTATGTTAATAGCTCGTTTAGAGAACCTTTTCATGATATGCCAATTTTTTGAGATAGGAATTTTGGGTTTTCATGAGCAGTATGCCAAAATCATCAATATTAGAAACAATAAAAGGCTTGAAATATATGAAAATCTAATGTTTATCAGTACATTACAGAAAATAATGAACTTTATCACAATATGCTGTTTTTTTGAAGGACCTTTATATATATATATATATATATATATATATATATATATATATATATATATATATATATATATATATATATATATATATATGTATATATATGTATATATATATATATATATATATATATATATATATATATATATATAGTTTGTTTTGTTTTGTTTTTGTTTCTTGTAGAACTGTTTCCTAATAATTGACAAGAATTTAGCATCTCTGCAGACATCTGGAGAGGCTCTAATTAAGTAAACATGTGTATTTTTCCTTGTTTACCGTTTCAGATTGTGGGCAAAGATCCAGCTAAAAAAAGGTATTATACAAAAATCACAGCTGCCAACTGGCACACACATTACAGCTCACAGTCTTGTTTTGGGGGGTTTTGTCCTTTGTTGCTCCAGATAACTCGTCCAATCAGGTGTACAACTATCAGCCATGTGACCACCCTGACCACCCGTGTGACAGCTCCTGCCCGTGTGTGATGACCCAGAATTTTTGTGAGAAGTTCTGTCAGTGTGAGCACGAGTGTGAGTGTCACCTTTCTCTCCAGCTCCTTGTGAAATCAGGTTGTCTCACATCAACTGTTTTCTTTCTGGGTCGTTGTGACATTTATTTTATTCCCTGAAAGCCGTTTAAAAGACCTCTTTACTGGGTCGGCGTGGATCAGAGCTGCAGGCTGGAATGTGTTTCTGCAGCAGAATAGAAGCTGTCATCTCGTGGGCATAGGTGTTTATCACAGAGCTGCACCTGAAACGAGACACATCTTCTGCGGCAAAATAGTGTTTTCTGAAATGGCCACATGGTGGAAGGAACTTGTTGTTTTTTTATTTAGCTCTCTGGAAAGATATCAGTCCAGACAAAGCAGAACATGAAGTAAACATGTGGCTGAAAGAAGGTTTTAGGCTCAAATTTTCTTCATGTTGTGGTTCGGTCACCTACTCCCCTCCTCCATCTCCTCATTATTACCACACCTTTTCCCGTAGCAGAGGAGCGCCCGGGCCAAACAGGAAGCTGTGCTCATTTCCACATGTGTGCGCTTTAAAGGCTTGGAGAGAAATCAAAGAGGTGTCACAAGCTCTGTGGCAGAAATGCAGCATCATCAGTATGAGTCAAACTGCTCCAGCGGAACAAAGCTCGACAAGACAGACACGAAACCCACAGAGGCTAGGAGGAGTTGGGATTTAAAGGAACCACGGAGCTGTCTGGACTTCTTGTTATGGACAATTTCCTTTTACGTAGAAGCTTCTGGGAAGAGATTTCGGATCACTTTTGCTTAAGCTTTGGCTTCATCTGCCCAGAGGGTGTTATGTTACAGTTTTCAAAATTGCATTTGGGCATATCTGCCAGCAGAGGTCTCATGACTGATGAGTCCATCAGCGTAGCCCACCCACTTACCGTCGCTCACATGCTGCAGCTGCTAGATTCAGACGTTCCAGCTGTTATGTTTTATTTTACAGTGTACATTTAAACTTTGTACTTCCTGTCTGTGAACTGGTTTTCAGGCCAGAACCGCTTCCCAGGCTGCAGATGCAAGACTCAGTGCAACACAAAGCAGTGTCCGTGCTACCTGGCCGTGAGAGAGTGCGACCCCGACCTGTGCATGACCTGCGGAGCTGCAGACCACTGGGACAGCAAAGTGGTTTCCTGTAAGAACTGCAGCATCCAGAGAGGCCTAAAAAAGGTTAGTCTGAACATTCCTCGATCTGATATGGTGAGAGTGTGGAAGGTGGGAGCTGGTGGGAAACAATCTGATTTATCTTCTAGCACTTGTTGCTGGCTCCATCAGATGTAGCAGGGTGGGGAACATTCATCAAAGAGCCTGTTCAGAAGAATGAATTCATCTCTGAATACTGTGGAGAGGCATGTTCACTTTGACCTTTATTCAAATGGGTCACAGAGCTTGTGCAAAGTTAATTCTTCTCTTCTTTTTTTTCTGAGCAGCTGATCTCTCAGGATGAAGCAGACCGACGTGGAAGGATCTACGACAAATACATGTCCAGCTTCCTTTTCAACTTAAACAATGGTAAGTTTGTGTTTCTATAGCTTTCCACAGGCAAACAGGTTCAGCGTGTTGACAGAATCCCGTTGTGTCCCTTTAGATTTTGTTGTGGACGCCACTCGAAAGGGTAACAAAATCCGTTTTGCGAACCATTCTGTGAATCCCAACTGCTACGCTAAAGGTGACTTGGTTTGATTTGGATTCAGCGTTTTCCAAAGAGTTGTGTGAGCTGATGTTTTGTTTATTACTGTCCCAGTCGTGATGGTTAACGGAGACCACCGGATTGGAATATTCGCCAAACGAGCTATCCTGCAAGGAGAAGAGCTCTTCTTTGACTACAGGTAGAGTCACGGGCCTTTTTGTGACTCTCCATCAGCTTACAAGTAAATTTTAAAAAAAGGAAAACAAAGCCACTACATATTGTTTATTTAGTGGCTTTTAGTTGTGTATTTTACTAATTTTCTCCTTAATGTTCCTCCCCCACAGATACAGCCAAGCCGATGCCCTCAAGTACGTCGGAATCGAGAGGGAGGTGGACTTGTCTTAGCTTTGCTGCTGTACTTACAACCTGGCTTTTGTTCCTCATCTCTGTCATTATGCAAGCTTTTACTGCATTCATCATGCTGATCAGTGAAATGCATATGCTGTCTTTGGACACGGATATCAGTTTCATGCGTTAGCTGCCGCAGTAGCTTCAGTCAGACGCTCCTCTCATGCACCCAGCTTTCTAGATGATGTTGCACCCTGATTGGTCTTCAGAAAAAAGCGTGTCCAGGTTTGACAGCTTGGTTTGTTTCTCAATGAATATGTACAGCAGCTAGCATCACAACCACATCTATGTGGGTTTAAAAAAAATGTGCATTTACGTCAGCGTTTTGCAAAAATTATCAAAAAATTACAGGTAACCCGATGAGAAACCGACTGACTGAATGTAACGTGTTGATGACTCGTTTTTTTTTTGTTTTTTTTTTACATTATTGGTACTTAAAGAAATGTGTATATCTGAAATATTTAGCATCATGTGAATATTATCACACATTACCAGGCAAATTAATGGTAAATAAATTAGTCTCAGATTAATTGTCTTCCTTTAAAATCGAATTAAAAAGTGCCAAATAATTCCTCACGTATATGCTAAATAAACTTGCATGTGAAATGTAGCTTGGTTTCCATGTCAAGGTTATAACAATAGTGATGTATGATTATGAGTGTTTGACCAAATATGGGCGTCGCATCATGTGAAACATTCATTTATCATGTCTATAATTTCAGACCCACATTATTGTCCACACTGTTGTTCAGTTATAAAACAAATGGCTCACTACCTTCAAAATAAAAGTTCTCATGGAGCTGAACACAATGAAGTTTATTGCTGTGTACAGTGTATGCTCATAAAAATAAAGGTTTAACTTTATATGATATTAATGCTGTCTGTGTTCTTATGTGCTGGATGGAGCCAAAGCGTGAGGATAGTCTTTACATCCATGCATACTCCTGAAGTATTTACTGCTATTTATGGAGATTATCTTAGGCTGTTACATACAGGGTATCCGCCGGTCCTTAAAAAGTCTTAAAAAGTCTTAAATTTGCTTTTCCAAATTTAAGGCCTTAAAAATCCTTAAAAATTACAAATAATCCTTAAATACGGTTTCCAAAGATCTTAAATTACCAAAGACCCAATAAACAAGATATTTTTATTTCTATAAAATTTTTGTGAATTTCTAGTTAGTGTTCAGCATTTTTTGTGTATGATGTTGGCGTAAGCGGAACTGTACACATTCAGTTGATTGTGAAAGGGGGCTGTTTTTAGATGAGCACATTAGCTGGTTAAGCTAGTGGGAGCTTGCATCATGGGGAAGTGCAAGTTTAATGGTAACTGGATGGCTAATCCCACATTTGCAACATGGTTAGCACCTGTTCCAGGCATTAGCTGGAAATTATAGCTTAAATGAAATTTTAAAAAATTGCTTACATTTCATCAAAGTGGCCTTAAAAAGGTCTTAAAAGTCTTAAATTTGGCTCCCTTAAACCTGCAGATACCCTGTACATAAATTATAGTGAAAACACACTATAAGCTTAAGTTTATTTCTGGTTATTTTACCTCAAACTTGCCTTACGACCCCAACTGCGGAACCAGTACATCACCTCCAAACACAACACCTGCTTCCTTCAAGCGTCTTTTAATTCAGATGATGGTTTAGATTTGAGTTGATTTACACAGTAATGGTCATTTACAGTGAAATTATTACAAAACCGACAGAAAAATAAGATCTGAATATGTTCAGAAACAAAACTCTGCTTGCTTGTATTGTCTGGTGATGCTGAGACTAATTCTGCTGCTCCCTCTGGTGACCTATGACCTCTGTCAATGCTGAAAGAGTAAAAGTTCACTTATTGTTTACTACTTTAATATTTGTAAAACAGAACAAATAAGCCCAAAGTATAATGAAAGTTTTGTGTTTAATCTTACACATACTGTATGTTGTTCAGTTAAACGTAAGTGCAGGAAGCCTCAAGTAGCAGACACCCTGTCAGAGCAAACTTCTTGCTGGCTAGCCACGTCTCACTCTACTAGTGTCGGTGCACCACAATACCACTGAAGAACTGGCCTCAACTGCACTTTTAACATCTTATGGTTGCATGTTGATGAGGAAACAATAAAACACACAAACATTGGGAAGTCCAGTCACACAAACTCCAGGGACCACAATTATCATGAGAGGCATAAATAATGGGACACTGCTGTGCTGAAAAATCATAAGAAAGATCCAGTGAGATGAGTTCATATCATAAGCACGTGATTTTCTTTGCTAAGTGGCAGCAAATCAAGTTTGTTGAATTTTTTTGAAAACATAGAACATTCTGTGCTATACACACAAAACAGTGATTTCTTTCTGTTTGCTCCATATTAGACTTTCATTCATCACATTTCCAAAAATATGTCCTGAAAATGCAAGTTTTGAAATCTCTACAGGTTCATACATTATTAGCAACTTTGTGTTTTTACAGTTTCTGTACATCCTCTCACTGAACCATTTTACACAGTCCTGCCCATCTGTAATGGAGGAAAACCAACCATGTTCTGGAGGTGGTTAGGTCTACAGAGAGCAGGTGCTGCGCTTCCTTTAACCTGAGCGATCTAAAAAGCTTTTCTTTCATCGAGAACAAAAACATCGGCAGGTCTGCTCAGACGGAGTCAGAGTTTACATTCAAAGCAAGTGTAAAAACCCTAAACATCAAAAGTCTTTCAACACGTTATTCACGGTATCACCTCCTGTATGCAAATGAAGAGAGAGACATTCACAGTTAGTGACTGGAAGAAGCTCATTAAAGCTTATTGCATGTTTCTGCTAAGTGCGGTCATGCTCTACGTATGCATAGCTAACATGTCGCAAATGTATTTCTTCGTCAGCAGTTTGTCTCACACACACACACACACACACACACACACACACACACACACACACACACACAACAGGTCTTTAGTGTTAAGTAGAGCTGCAGCGATTGATAGCTCGAGGCTTTGGTTGCTACACACACTAAAGGACATTTTGTGTCACCAGTGACAGAAATCTTATACAAATGTGTTTAATATTATTTTTTCTCTGTAAGCAGCTAGCCCACCAAGCAGCAGCAGCAGCAATGATAATGTGGTCAGCTGCAGTGTTGAGCAACATTATTCTAGCAGTGTCAGAAGTAAGAATTTACATTATTGTGGTCCACTGTACAAATGTTGTTCTTGTTGTGTGTGTGTTCATATGTTTGCTTTCCATATGGCCATAAGGAGCAGCTGTTCCCTGATATCTGTCCCACAAGGAAGATGAAAGGATTGTGGAAGGACAGATTTTTTTAAATTATTTTGTCATTGGATATTTGCTGAGTCAAACACTCTGTAGCACCAAGCCGGTGGCAGCTTGACTGTAAAATTAGAGTATTTACTTCCCTTGAAGAACCTGTTAAGACGGTCTTCAACTCCCACATCTGGCAGAGCTTTGTCCACATCCTGAGAGCAGTGGGGGACATTGACTCTGAGTGGGCCTTGTTCCACTCTGCGATTGTTGAGGCGGCTGTTGCTAGCTGTGGTCGCAAGGTGGCCGGTGCCAGTCGTGGTGGCAACCCCCGTACCCGCTGGTGGACACCAGAGGTTCGGGGAGCCGTCAGGCTGAAGAAGGATACCTACAGGGCGTGGCTGGTCTGTGGGTCTCCGGAGGCAGCAGACAGGTACCGGATAGCCAAGCGGGTTGAAGCAGTGGCAGTTGCCGAGGCAAAATCTCGGGCGTGGGAGGAGTTTGGTGAGGCCATGGAGAAAGACTATCGATCGGCTCCAAAGAGGTTCTGGCAAACTGTCCGGTGTCTCAGGAGAGGAAGGCAGCAACTCACTCACACTGTTTACAGTGGGGATGGGGAGCTGCTGACGTCAACTGGGGCTATAGTCGGATGGTGGAAGCAATACTTTGAGGAGCTCCTCAATCCCACCTATGTGCATTCCGAGGAGGAACCAGAGCCAGGAGGCCTGGGGATGGACTGTCCAATCTCGGGGGCAGAAGTTGCTGAGGTAGTCAAACAACTACACAGCGGCGGAGCCCCGGGGGCGGATGAGATTGGCCCTGGGTATCTCAAGGCTGTGGATGTGGTAGGGCTGTCGTGGTTGACACGTCTCTGCAACATTGCGTGGTCATCGGGGGCAGTTCCTGTGGAGTGGCAGACCGGGGTGGTGGTCCCCATCTTTAAGAAGGGTGACCTGAGGGTGTGTTCCAACTATAGGGGGATCACACTCCTCAGCTTCCCTGGAAAGGTCTACTCCAAGGTACTGGAGAGGAGGGTCCGATCGATAGTTGAATCTCAGATTGAGGAGGAGCAACGTGGTTTTCGTCCTGACCGTGGAACTGTGGACCAGCTCTATACCCTTGCAAGGGTGATGGAGGGGGCATGGGAGTTTGCCCAACCAATCCACATGTGCTTTGAGGATTTGGAGAAGGCTTATGACCGTGTCCCCAGGGGCACCCTGTGGGGGACGCTCCAGGAGTGTGGGGTGGGTGGCTTTCTGCTAAGGGCCATTCAGTCCCTTTACCAGAGGAGCGTGAGTTTGGTCCGCATAGCCGGTAGTAAGTCAGACCTGTTCCCGGTGAGGGTTGGACTCCGCCAGGGCTGCCCTTTGTCACCGGTTCTGTTCATAACCTTTATGGACAGAATTTCTAGGCGCAGCCGTGGTGTGGAGTGTGTCAAGTTTGGTGGCAGGAGAATCTCGTCTCTGCTTTTTGCAGATGATGTGGTCCTCCTAGCTTCATCCAGCTCTGACCTTCAGCTCTTGCTGGGTAGATTTGTGGCCGAGTGTGAAGTGGCTGGGATGAGGATCAGCACCTCCAAATCTGAGACCATGGTTCTTGACCGGAAAAGGGTGGCTTGCCAACTCCGGGTCGGGAGAGAGGTCCTACCTCAAGTGGAGGAGTTTAAGTATCTCGGGGTCTTGTTCACGAGTGAGGGTAGGAGGGATCGGGAGATCGACAGACGGATTGGTTCGGCATCTGCAGTGATGCGGACGCTGAGCCGATCTTTCGTGGTGAAGAGGGAGCTGAGCCAGAAAGCCAGGCTCTCGATTTACCGGTCGATCTATATCCCAATCCTCACCTATGGTCATGAGCTTTGGGTAATGACCGAAAGAACGAGATCGCGGATACAAGCGGCCGAAATGAGTTTCCTCTGTAGGGTGGCCGGGCTCAGCCTTAGAGATAGGGTGAGGAGCTCGGGAGGGACTCGGAGTAGAACCGCTGCTCCTCCGGATTGACAGGAGCCAGTTGAGGTGGTTTGGGCATCTGGTCAGGATGCCTCCTGGACGCCTCCGCGGGAAGGTGTTTCGGGCATGACCTGCCGGCAGGAGGTCCCCGGGTCGACCCAGGACACGTTGGAGAGGTTACATCTCCAATCTGGTCCGGGAACGCCTTGGGGTCCTGCCGGAGGAGCTGGTGGAGAAGGCCGGGGAGAGGACGGTCTGGAGCTCCCTAGTTGGGATGCTGCCCCCGCGACCCGGATAAGCGGAGGAAGACGACAACGACGACTTCCCTTGGACGCTTTCTCATACCAACAATCTGCTAGCTGTCACACTCTGAGGTACATTACTGTCAAATTAGCAAATTCGTATTTTCAGCACCCCAAATTTGAGAATATGTTTGAAAATCTGAGCATCTTTAACCATAGAAGCTGCTATCTATTAGCACTATGGTGGTTCAGAACCACTTACATCCTGTCTAGGTAATGCACCATTATAGGCTGTAATACAACAAAGCAAATATACCTTCAACAGTCATGTTATATTTCACCTTGAAGCAGAAAATGTCATGCTAGCTAGCATGTTCTCTTCACTTGGCTGTTTTTGCACATTAACATTAGTTGTCTTTCCCTTGTTTGATTATTTTTGCACCCATATATGATAAGTATTTTTATCCACTCTGAATTTAACTGAATGGCTCATGTGAGATTGTCCAAAGTATAATTTGATTGGCAATCAGTATACGGAAAGCTGTTAGTATACAGAAAGCTGTTAATACATTTAATATGTGTCAAAAATGGCTCAGAAATCAAATCAATAAAAGCCTGAATACCTACAAGTGTTTAAACAGTTTCTTTTTTCCCCTCACACAGTGTCCAATCTAAACTCTCTCTGATTAAGCTTTAAGCTTCCAGATCAAGCTTGCTCAGATGAGGCACTTCAGAATTTCACCCTGTCATACTGCGTGAGTCGTGTTGGCTACTCATGCAACCCGGGGCTTGATTTTAACTTTGAACCCAGCAAAACTTGAACACCCTAAAACAAAAACTGTGTAAAACAGAGCACCAGGCGTCATGTGCCACTCAAACGTGGGAAAGGAACATGAAACAAAACGCTGAAAAATAAAGGAAAACAACAAATTAGAAAATTTACTGCAAGTATCTGTGGTTTATGTGCACTCACCCTCATTCCAACCCCATTTATCAAACTCCCACCCACTATCCCATGAGTCCGTGGTGTTAGCCGCTCCTGACTTCCTCTTCAATTTCTTGAATGCTCTTTTTTTCTCTCCTCAAGGTCTCGGTCAGTGGCCTAGAGCTGCTGGGAGACTCCAGGTTTTTGGGTTCATTGGTGTGGTAACTTCCTTTTTGCTGGTAAGCATAAATATAGATGGTGTACAGGCCTCCAAGGAGCAGCACAAACGCCACGAGGACAATAACTGAGGGATAAAAATAAAACAGTCAGGCAGGAGCAAACATGAACCTTAAAATACACATCAGTACTGGTCGGTGTTTGGCTTCAGTTCTTCTGTTAAATCATGCCTTTATTTTCCTGCTACCAGGGAGTAAAGCTACTGACAGTACAACAGTACCATCAATTTGCCGTTTTCAATTAGGAAAAAAAACATGTGTTCAAGACAGTGACTAGTTTGAAAAAACTGCTTTGCCCCGCCCACTTGGCCAGGACATGAAAGACAGTGTAAGGATCTGTGTGGCATTCATCCATAGCCTGGATATTCCCAGTACATCCTAGAGATACTCCAACAATCTGTGTTTATTATTATTATCAATAATAATTATAATAATAAACTTTATTTATACAATGCCTCTCTAGAACGCAGCCATGAGTGAGCCCTGAATGTGTGGTGGCCTTCCTAGTGCTACAAGTTGGTAAACAAGAATGGGAGTGAGCAGTGTTGCTTCTGGAGACTCTGACATGAAGCACACAGCTGCCTACTCTCTCACTGACCAGTGGATGTTTACCCACTGCATCGCTAATGAGTCACGCACGCGGGGAAGCCGCTCCTGGCTGATTCTACCCACACCAATCAGAGGCTCTTTCTAGTAGGTACGAGTGAAAGTGGCATCATTTCACCCGGCAGGTACAGTAGGTGTGTATGGCCGACTCAGCATGAAATGGATTGTAGGGAAGCATGGCCCCCCAAAAAAAAAGGTCTGGCCCGAGCTGACCCGAGTGTAAGTGCCCTTTTAGCTGCAGCTATAGCAGTAGCTAACGCTAGTGTTGTTCTGAGGTTAGCATTACTGTAACCAATGTTTATACCATCTACAATAAAGTGGGTTTGGACATTGTGGGGGGGTGGGGGGTAGGGGGGGGGGGGTCTAGCACCAGAAAGAAGAGAGCAGATAAAATAACATAAAAAAACAACTGACAGTTTAACTGTAGTGAATGTTAGATTAAAAAAATACTGCACATTATTTTAAAATGATTGCTAACAAACAAAATGTTGAGGATTGTAAAATGTCGCTGCTGGTTTAAAAGATCTAGAGATGACCTGAAGAAAACTGCAGCTTCGTGTCCAGAGAGGCTCATAAATCAAGACCACTGGATGATTTACGGCCCAGAGTTAGAGCTTTTATGCCCAGATGGAAAAAGAAGACCTTTGTTGGCAGCATGGCCATTTTGGACAGAACCATGTGCTAAAGAGATGTGCTCAATAAGTTCTAGTTAAAACATATTTCTTCTTTGTTTTAAAATGTTCTATAGACATCTAGAATTATCTGTGTTTTCTTCAGATTCATTTGTTTTAGTTAGTGCTGTTTGTTCCACCCTCATCACATGATTTTTGTTCCCCGATTGCAGTTGAAAGTCATTTACTGAAGTGCTTCATTCTCTCCGTTCACTGCCAGGTACAAACCCCCTACAAAGCTGCATTTTAGGATTCCCTGCTTTTAAGCATCTTTCTAAGTCTGCCTGTTGTCTTTCCATGTGCTTTCTTTCCCATGAGGAAAACTCGTAATCCAGCTATAGCAAAAACAAAAACCTTTCATTTTTTGTCTTTCTTTGGTTTCAGACAAAAACAGACTTTCTAAATGACTCGTAGATTTGTGGATCACAGCTGCTCAGTTATATCCTGACTACTGAACACTAGAGGAGTGTGATTTCTCCATCACGCTATCGGTAGCAGTTTATAAGACAGAGAAGATGTCTCCAGTCCTATCGTTGGGACACATGACTGCCGTGATAATCTTTAATGACATGTTGATGTCCTGCATTAGCATATTTTTATAGAAGCTAAATGATCTCTGAAGCTGGAGCATCTAGCAGAGATGAACAGTGAGCTGCATCGGTGCAGGCTAAATATAGCTGATCCGGTGAAGGTCTCAGACAGGGATGATGGGGTGGGGAGGGGAGGGGGATGTCTGCTGCTGCTTAATCCTGAGACTTCAGTCACTCCTGCTTAGTAGTGGAAACCTGCTCCTATTCTAATTGTGCTACGCAGCACATCATTTATTCATTCTCAACATTTTAATCTGTTCTTTTGGAACAAGGTGCAGCAGAATGTGGATTCTTCCAATCAAAATATGTGATACTTTTCTAAAATATGGACTAATCTGAAGAACACACCTGTAGGAACATTTAAACATATTTGAAGCTGTGGATTACTTGTTTAATCAAAACATTTGCAGTGGTCTCTAGTAGGAATGAATGCCTTGCAGGCAGAACTCAGGGCACCAAAGAGCCCACAAATCCCTGGCCCAGCAGGACCAGTCGGCAACATCAGAGCTGTGCTTCAAACAGGAGGATTTGGAGTCTCTTTTCCTGATATTTATATATCTTGCCTCTGATTGGATGAAAGCAACACTACTCTACCAGTGTTTGCTCTGGGGCATTGATGTTATATCTCTACAAATTGCAAGCCTGGAGGAGATTCAGCCATGTGAGTGAGCTGCTAATGCTAGCGGTTAGTTTCTGTTGAAAGAGACGTTCTCTGCTGATTCTGGGTGCTAATACAACAACAGCTTTCCCCGTCGTGAATCAATATAGGTAAGTCCAATTCCCAGTGTGCACAGAGTGGTCAGTGTTTTCAAATCCTAGAGTTTCACTGTCTATTTTCTATCAGAAGCTAATGCAGCAGATAGAGCTAGGAGAGTATTTTCATCTTCAGCCTGAATTAAAAACTCAAAGTGAACAATTATAATCAGAAATAATGATTAAAAATATGTTTTTTCAGTCAACTACACCTTTAAAATATATTTTTACCACTGCTGGTTTTTAGGTAGCATTCATTTTTATTTTATGTTATAATGTCCGACAGAAACTGCTTCACATTTTCAGTTTAGCCGTTATTTAATGTCATCAAAACAGCTTTTGCTTCTATTACGAAAGGTTTTTAGTCAGACAGATTTTTAAAAAGTCAAAATCTCACTCAAATAAAGTACACAAGGGATGAGGAAGAAAATTAATTGTTGCATTATTACTACTCTTGTTTTTTTTAATTGAAGCAGTTTCGGAACAAGGTTTAGGTGTAAAAGAAGAATGAAAGAACAAGAGGAAGAAAAGGAAAAGTCTCACCTGCTATCCAAAGCAGACCTATGTCATCGTGCATATAAAAATACTCTGTAAGACAGAAATAAGGAGGATTACTCAAAGATCATATACCGCTCGACTACAGTAATAAAATTAAACCCACCTATGCTGGTAAACCAGGGGTCAACTTCCCAAGGCACGTAACCTAAGACAGGAGGAAACGCCCCACAGTTGGACTCTGAGACGTATCCCTGTGTTGTTACGGGAAGATCTGTTTCATTTGGGCGGAAGAGGGTTTTCAGAGGGGCATAGACGTTATATCTCACTCCAGATATGCAGCCGATGAAGCCAGGAGCATTGTGTCTCTGGATTTCGTAGTCAATATCACCAACCTCTAAAAACAACAAGGAAAACAAAACAACAAATCAGTTAAACATAATTTCTTAATTGTTTCAATTAATAATTGGCTCTAAAGTTGAAACCATGAGAATTTACCCATCACTCTGCCAAGGAACATGGACTTTGGTGAGTCAAACCTGGCATCCTCCACCAACGTTATCTTCTCAACTATAGGTTCCATGTAATCCACCTGTGAGTTCAGAGACATTTGTTGAAAGAATCATTTTTCCTGCACTGGAAAGTTACCAGAGACAGATGTAGGAAGAGACGATTATTCATTCATTTAAGGTAAACGCCCAAAATTATTGCCTATCTATGGAAAGTTAGAGCTTGACTGTGATTGGAGAAGAAACTCTGGCTCTGTTGAAAGACAAGAAAATTGACCTAACAGTTTAAAGTTTCTTTTTACTTCCACAAAAACACCTTAAGTTAAGTTAAAGCTGCTTTCAGGAGTTTTCTACTTTCAGAAATTATGTAAGATTTTTCAGAAATCCGTAAAAGTGATTATCTTATGTAAGCAATATGTCTTTGTTTTTTGCTAAGCACGCCCCCTGCCCTGCAGAGCTCCATGCAATAGAAAACTGAGCGCTGGCCAGAACTAACCAATAGCGTTAGACTACCGCTTAGATGCTTCAAATTTAAGGAACACCTCAGGGTCCTCAATTATAATGGTCCGAGGGCCACACACAAAAAAGACCCAGAAGCAAGAGGGCCGGAGGGGGGGTGTAAGGGGGTGGGGGGGTGGGGCTGCTGTTTGGATTGCTGGCTGTAATGCACATAACACACAAGCTTGCAATATAAAGCAGGACAACACCTGTCCCGCTCCAGCTCGGTTGTGTGACTGCACTAACCTGTCCTGTGGGACCCTCACCATGTGACCCTCATGTCCATGCTGTCTCTGGAGGAGCAGACAGGAGACAAGATCTCCTGTAACTTAAAACGAACCAAAGCTTCCTCCCAGTTTCTCTTTAAGCTGAATTTAACATCAGTTCATCTTCGTGAAACAAAAGAATAAAGTGGAACAAGAACTTCTATCTTCTATTTCTCTCTCCTTTTAACTTCTCCGTGTCCCTAAATAAGAGACAGGTTACGGTCAGCGCTGGACTGACCATAGGGCATAGCGGGCAACTGCCCGCTGGGCCGACCCTTTCATCTTTTATGGGCCGGTGTCTGTTTTTTTTTTTCCTGGCCTCTAGTTGTTGCGGACAACTTGCCCGCGCCGCCCCACGCGACGCCTCATAAGTTGGTGGATTGGCCAATTGGTAATAATACACTCTGGGCTGGACCAATAGCCAGAGGTCTGATGCACCCGCCAGTTGTTTGTGAATCTCAGTAAACAGACAGACGAGCTTTACAAAATGGAGAACAAAAAACGGAAAGGAGGAGCGGAGAAAATTCGACTACAAAAGAAACTGGCACATGTGTTAAAATCTCACAGTTGTTTGGTAGTGAAGGTTCAAGTAAAATCAATTTAGGAAGTGATGGAGCCTCAGCCCAGCGACAGGTTGGAGAAGAAAAGAGGGAGGAGGAGGAGAAACCCGAGCCGGTGTTGTGCCATAAATTGACTCGCTGCCAAAAAATGATTAGCCACTGCGGGATCGCGCACGGTTAGGTAATTGCATTTCTAGACAAAATTCCCCAGGATTTCGCCCTAAAACTCGGCATATCTAGCAATATGGACATTCAGAAAGCAAAGATAACCTCTTCCGGTACTTAAACAGATGTTTATCGCGGATATTAGTGTGGCAGTGTTTGTGGCACCCTGCGCGGGAGCACGAGGACGTGCTTGTGGAAAGAGGGAGGAAGATGTGGCAGTGTGAGCATCCACAATATCCCGGTTGATCATGCGTCCTGGCTACTTGGCCAAAGAGATGTCTCTTTGGCTGACTGGTTAGAGCGTAAGACTCTCACCCGGGGGTTTGGGGATCGAATCCCGCCCGGGCATTCCTTTCTGCACCTGCCAAATTAGTTTTTCCAGTTCTGAAGTTGTTTTAAGTGTTGCTATTTGTCTTAAACGTTCACAATGAGGGTATATTAAGCCTTTTTGCAATATTTGCGATTGAAAGATGGTTTGTGCCACAAACTTTGTGGTAAGAACTGGCTTTCTTTATGTTACAGCCTTGATACTAAAAAAATAAATAAACAATGTAAAATGGCACCCTGTATTGAATGTAAACGTTGTATAAATGGAAATAAACAATTCTCCAGCGATTTAATTTTTTCCCCTTCCTTTCTTTAGTCCACTTGACATGGAGCCACAGTTAACTAGTTTGGGGCACATTTTTACTTGGAAAAAAAGTATTTAAAATGATCAAGCATTGACTTTAATGACACTGTGTAGGTTGCTATCTATACATTACGTTGCTCTATTTAAAAGTAACAAGATAAAAGCACTTCAGCACATAAAATTAAGATTGTCACTTGCCAAATAGACTACACCCTCCCGTTTACCTATAAGAAACGCCTCAAAATATCTTTAAATTCTTTATTGATGATTTAATTGTAGACAACTAAAATGGCATTTTACTTGCCAAAAAGTGGTTGAATCGCTAAGATTTTCATGGAGGCTAAAATTGACCAAATAAGGGTTTTATGTATTATCTGTTGATGTTACTGTACTCATACTGTCTACTGTATCATCAAAAACACCCCAAAAATGGCAAAAAAAAGAAAAGAAAAAAAAGAAGATAAATTCCCTTGCCAAAAATTGATTACAGTGTCCTGGTCACGTGTAAAGGGTTACATTTACCTAAATATTACTTTATTTATTATCTCTTGATGTTATTAGTGCCATCACAGGATGCTGGGTGTCTTTCACATTCATAAACACTTCAAAAATGGCAACAAATGATCATTTCCCTTGCCAAAAATTGATCACAGAGTCCTGGTCACCCATAAAGGCTTAAATTGGCATAAATATTACTTCATTTATTATGATGCTGGGTGTGTTCCACAATCATATTCGAATAAACATGAAAATATTCCGTCCGAATATCTGTTTCTTGTTATAAATATAACAGCTAGAAGGATTTACAGTTAAAATAGGAGAAACACGTGACTCCCCAGGAAGGGTCGTAACACCACTTGCCTCATGCACATAAGTGAACAAAACAAAGCAGCATGGAGACATTCCGTCTCCAACCACCTCTCAGGCAGCAGCCTGCACTCCCAAGTTCTACACATCACCAGAACATAAACAACCGCAACACAATAAAAGCAGTGTTATACAAAATGGAAGGCCTGTAGTGTTTATTCTCTTACAGTAACGACTTATCAATTTTTTGGAGGAATTTATTTGAGAATTTTTTGGTTTTTATTAATTGTGCAATAGAAAAGTAATCGCTAGATTAATCATCTAAATAGTCATTAGAATAGTCGACTATTCGATAAAATAATCATCAGAATAATCATTTTAAAAATAATCAGTTACCCCCAACCCTACTTTTTAGAATACCAGGATAGGAAGGATGGTGTAGGTTTACGTTTATTAGATTGATACATAAATACTACCAATAACGTTGGTGTGTGTCAGAAACAGCGTAAGGCTTAATGTCTTTTCCAAAAAAAACAGGTGATGGGCCGGTCTCCAGTCAAAATGCCCGGGCTGAATTTTTGTCCCAGTCCAGCCCTGGTTACGGTGCAGTCGCCGTCACTCACCCCGCTCCCTCCCCAAGACCGGACCTCCCGACATCTCAGCACTCGGTCTGACTGAGCGCTTCCAGGAGAAACAATAATGAACTTATGAAAATAATAACGCGTGTTTGGAGGAGCGTCCTCCGATCCTCTCTTGTGTGAGCAGACAATCTCCCTCTCTCTCTATCTCTCTGTCTCAGTCGCTGATCGAGCAAGCGGAGCGCGCTGCGCGACAACCCGCTCGACTAACATAATTCACGGCCCAAATCCAACAGAAACGGTCGGGCTGATTCGGTTCAGGTTCGGTCTCAGGTTATAACTCCAGTGCTCAGCCCTGCAGTACCACATAAAGGCAGACCAAAGTTTCCTACCCGGTACATGTGAGAACACCGCTCTGACAGATGTGGATGCTGCGCTGGTGCCGCCGTTAAAATAACAAAACTACATTCCACTATAAGTGATTATGGTTCTCTTCTATGATGCAAACCGTTTATGCCCGCATCTCATGCACTGATTATTTGATTATTTTCATCAGCTCGATCCTACACCTCCCGGTCGGGGGTGGAGGGTGTGCGCAGGGTTTGGGGGGCCACAAAGAGAGGGCTCGCGGGCCGGACATGGCCCGCGGGCCACCATCTGCGGACCACTGCCTCAGCTGATGCAGAGTTGAGGAACTTTTCACAGACAAGTGTTTAAAATATAAATATATGAAAACACAACATGACATGAGAATAATACTTGTAAAACAACGTGTTTTAGCTCTGTTTGTCGGCTACACAAGCACATTTATAAACGAAATAACAGAGCGACAGACTTTTTGTGTGATATGCTTGTCAGCCACTAGATGATGCCATCGGCTAAGATAAATACTCCGGAAAGAGACTTTAAATTAAGTTAAGTCAAGTCAAGTCACGCTAAGCTAAGTTAGAATGTCAGTGGCTCAGGTAGATGATAAATCTGTCAAGTTAAAGATTTTAAATTTGATCGCCACAACTCATGTTAGAGGTGGATGAGAGAATTAAGTCTGCCTTCACTGATTCTATAGCTTGTTTGAGTGTGTTTGTTCAAACATAAGGTGGCCAACATGACTAAAAAAGACCAGCCCATTTACAGTTTTGGACATGGACATATTGGACATCTGTCTTGTCTACTTTAGAGTTGAGTTGAGCCTTCTTTTATTTTCTCCAACATTACCTCTTCAGGATGGCTGCATCCCATTTTAGACCTAATTTGGTGAAAATCAAACATTGCGCCAGAAGCAAGGTTTATCTTCTGTTGGCAGTGAGAGGACAGACCTGGGTTTTGATGGTTCTGTTGTGTCTGGTTATGTTCACATAGTGAGGATATCCATCTGCCAGGTTCCGGTTAGTTAGCTGATACTTGTGTGTTACAAGCCCCAGCTTATACCTCAGATCAACACTACCTGGAAGGAAGTGAGACAACAAACATATCTGAAGCATGTATTTGATCTGCTAATAAACCCAATATTGTTCTGCAAATGAACCCACTCTCCAAATTCACAGCTTCAATCCTCTCACCTACCATCAGTTTTGAGGATAACAGCGATGTAGTCTTGAACAAATGAGCTGATGTAGAGTAGCACAGCAGGAGCGTGAACAGTGCTGAAACTGAACTCGATGTCATCTGCCGTGTCGTTATAGCCAAGACTGAAGTTGTCGTAGTGCGGGTCAATCCAGTTTGCCCATACAGCCTCGTTTGATGTGGGCTTTTTTCGTATGTTGTACTTTAGCCACGACCCAATCTCAAAGTAAGCTCCAATGTCTTCAACGAGTGTGTGGAGTTAGATGTCTGATCTTGCGTATTAAAACTGATGCTAGTTACAAAATTGTGATTATTCAAAATGGTAACTCACCTTTATGGCAGTAGAAACCATCAAAGGCCGTATTATTACAGTCACAAGTATAAGAAGCATATCCTTCAATACACTGGCCGCTGTTTCGACATGGTATGGTGGCGTTGAGACACTGTCCTGTGCAGTTCCTCCTTATACCCTGTTCCTCATTTACTTTCCCTTCTAAATCAAGTGGAACACCGTTCATTCGTAACCCTCGCAGGCACCCTAAGAAAGGTCTGAGGGTGCGGTTGGCTGCACCTAAATGAACAGAATGTCAGTGGTTAAAAAGGAGTATTAGACCATTTTTGTAGACATCAACAAGTTCTTCTCAGGCCACCTACCTACGAGAAGAGGATGTGTAAACTTCATGGTGACAAATGTTTGGCCTGGTAAACGTTTGACAGCCCAAGGCTGATAATCAACTTTGATCCTGGCCACCTTCACGTTAAGCTCAGCCTGGACAAAATGCCACTCATTGTCATTGAGTGGCACGGGGGAGTGAAGGGTCACATTGAGGATGCCATCGCCAACCATAAATATAAACGCAAGATTGTGGGTGGCTAGAAAACAAAAAAGAGATAACATTTTGAGACTTGACTTGATGAAAATTTTCACAGATGGCCAAAACAAACTTACTGTTCATTTCTATTCTTATAAAATTTCTGAGTTGTTCATCTGAGTTTTCCAGAAAAACACCATGGTCTCGGTATGTTTTGAAGTGGAAGGAGATGTCAGCAGTAGTTCCGGGTTGGAAAGTGGGGAACGTGATGTAGGTGGGCTTGGTGAAGGCGATTGTGTTCCAGATGTTTTCTGTGGAAAATAATAAATGAAAATTATCCCAATCACAGCAACGAAAATCACAGTTGTAGCTATTTATAATTTAGGATAAAGAATGGAACTCTCTGTGCATATTCCAGTCTTCCGATTTTTTAATATTTATAATTTAGCTCACTGTCGCCATGGCATCGGAGAGGCCCAACTGTGACACGTGCTTCTGAACCAGTCCTGTTGGTGTCCCCGACCACTACCCTCCTTACAGGTAGATGGTCCCTGAAGTCCAAGTAACCTTTATCTGAAAACCTAAAAGGCACAAAGAGGGTGTCAAAAAACACTGAGACAGAAGTCAAACATTTTGGCTAGGTCTGTCTTCTACCATTGTCTGTAGTCAGCATCACAGTTGCACTGAAACTTGGGGTCCACACAGGTCTGGTTGACATGACAGCCACATTTTTGAACTTCTCTGAAAGTCCCACCCCAGTAATAGTGGCTTTCATTGTTGCGACCAATCCAATAACCAAAGGGTCTTCCATCTGTTTTGTGAAACAAAGTGCATCATTTAGGACCTTCAAAGTTTGGATCAGTAGTTAACACAACTGATTCTACTCACTGGGGGTGTTGAGGAGACGAGACTTGTAGCAGGAGTAGTCAATCCACTGCTCACAATACATGGAGGTGTTTGCCAGAGCGGTGACTTCATCCCAGGAGGCGTTCCAGTAGTTGACATTAACGATGTATGGTTGGTCAATTGAGCTCCCAGTTACCTTGGTGCCTTCCACTTGATCGTGCATGATCACTGTCCAAGATTTGTAGGCTGCAAAGATGTTTTGCAAAAGTCATAAACCGAAAGTACAAGGAAGAGGACTATTAGAATGACTACTCACACTTCATTTTGCAGTACACTTCAAATGGTTTGAGCGGCCCACTGAGATCAGGATCGATGGTGTAGTTTCCGGACCAGTACTTGCCACTCAGTCTGTAGGCTTCACACGATTCTTTATAAACCGCTGTTGCAGGAACAAATAATCCATGAATTATGTTTAATAAGGAGATGATCTGCCTTAATAAATGTAGACATTTGATCAGATTATTAGTCAGCTCTTACACATGTGACACACTTCTCCTTTATAGCCTGTATTCTCACACAGACAGATAAAATCATCCCAGGACTGAATGCATCTGCCCTCGTGTTCACATGGATTTGGAGTACATCTACATACAAATAGATACTGAAAGTTAGGTGCTATTTATATACTGTATAGGGATGCACCGATGGATCGACATTTGATCCCAATCGGCCGATAGCGCCCCTATCGGTTTTGATCGGAGTTTTCAAAATAGATCAAAGCAGACCGATCAGGTAGGGTCGTCATGGTAACCAGTGTAGCGGTAAACCCCGGTGAAAAAAAAGTTGACAATAATAATAACCGTCTTGTTTTTTAAAAAACTATATTATCTCGGTGGGTTTACCATGGCTGCGGTGTAGGCGCGGTGACCCTTACCAGCCACCGTATCATCTGCTGAAGTTGCCGGCGGCACATGCGGGCTTTGTTGTTTACAGCCAAAACTTTCTTGAAGCTAAAGCTGAAATAATGGCCAAAGGAGGAGACGGAGACGCTTCAAATCTCATGACACATCTGCGTGACCATCACCCACAACTCTACAGTCAACGCAAGGCAAGCTAACGTTAGCATTTTAGCTAAAATTCGTGATCCAAGGATTTGGGTTGAGGGAGAATGCAACGAGTAGCTATATAAAGCAGCCGCAGCGCCGCTACCTGCATATAAACCGTGTCGCGGACACCCCCATGTTGAAATGACGCTATGCATTACGGGACTCCCAGGGGCAGATAAGAGTTGGTCTCTCTCCGAGAATAATTATGAATTTAACAATGATTACTGCCTGATGACATTTTCCCTTAATCTGCAAAGTTCACTGGAAGGACACAAACCGAGGATGATATTTTCCTGATATAGGGTTTATTACTCAAGTAAGGGTAAAAAAGTATCTGATTAGAAGGCTACTTGAGTACTGAGTATCATCTGGTCTAATATTTTTAAAATGATGACATCAAACAGACAAAAAAATAAGAAGTCATGGGCAAATATTGGTATTTTAAAGACTAAAGGGAAAAATGTAAACAAATAAACAACATAATTACAAAATAACACATTTTAGGCAAAATTTAGACACAAACTGAGGACAATATTTCCTGACATACAGGGTTTATTTAATTGTGTGAAAATGTAGCACGTTTAAAAAAAATACCGCGGTAATACCGAAAACCGTGGTAATTTTGGTCACAATAACCGTGAGGTTAAATTTTCACACCGTGACAACCCTAATACAGACCATTTTAGATTAGGTTACATTTCCTTTATTCCCAGATTATGTAGTTTGTAGCACTCATTATAATGTTGCAGAAAATTTCTGGTCAATCCACGTGATCGGTATCGGTGATCAGTATCGGTGATCAGCATTCTTTGATATCGGTATTGGTGATCGGCAGCAAAAAACCTGATCGGTGCATCCCTATTTATATACACTTTATCACACTGATTTCAGATTTCCATCCCTGTCTGACAGTTTTTTTTATTCGATACTTTCTACCTGTCAGTGATCCCACAGGTACCCAACAGCAGCTCCTCGTATCGTGCCCACTGTCGCTGCAGAATTATGTCGATATCCAGCTGTTCGTTGTCTATGAAAATATGCTGCATGCAGCCATGGAAGCGATTCAGTTTAGTCTCACACTTGAAAACTGTGTTATTGGTTTTTGGACAACCTGAAAGGAGAATGTAAATGTTTTGCATGATTTTAGGAGCACATATTTTGGTTATTAGAGATGGCAGCAGTTTAAATCAGAACCTCACCCCCAAAAAAGTAGCGATCACTTGTTCGGATAGAGAATGGGTTGGTGATCTTCAGCGGAGAGCCCTCTTCCTCATCAATGGTAAGAGTCAGCAGGTTGTCTCTGGCTGCTAAATCCACTGAATGCCAGTAACCATCGTTCAGCCTGTATCCTAAAGATCAAGAGAAGGTCTGTGATGTTGTCGTAAAAGATGTTGTTCTCCTTTCACACAATTAAGCATAGTAGTTAGACTAAAATCTTACCTGCAGCAAACTGAATCTTCTTTTTTCCTGTTTGAAAAATGGTCACATTGATCTGACCCTCACTCAGACCCAGCTCAAGGGCGCCGAGGTTATCAGCGAAACGTGTGAACATCAGCAGCCCGGTGTAGTCCCATGAGCGGAACTTAAACTTAACAAACATGCGAGGCTTTCCGAAGAACCCCGGTACTTGTAAGAAGTTGTTGGGTCCAGCAAAAGTCATTGGTTTGAGTAGAATGTCTCGGCAGGCATAATGCATCTTTTTCTGTATAGGAAGACAAATGATCATCAGTCATGATGATGCATTTTACAATTTTATTAAGAAAGTATTGACTAGAATCACCCAGACAGCACGGGAGTTCATTTAGGCTCACATTGCGAGGAATACGGATGTCGGGTTCTTCATTCTTGGCTTTGCCAATAACGTTGATGCCATTGATGAAGACGTTCTCCAGACATCCTCGGAAATTAGGTGTGGTCGGTAGGTGAGGCATGTTTTTCTCAATTACACCTCCCACATACATCTAAAGGGTGAGCCAAAACATTTAGTCCTTAAGAGTTTCATCCCACATTCGGTCGGATTTGACTAAGAAATTTGGTACCTGAGTATCTAGATCCAGGTGAGTAAATTCTCCATTGCAAATGGCCGTCACTGTCTGACTGTCCACGGTGAAGTTCACCTGTCTACCGTAGCGCTTGATAGTGACATAGTGCCAGTGTAGATTATCAAGCAGGCTTCCTGCAGTCAGAGTGATTCGGCCATCGACTTTGTGCACAATGCTGCTTCCTAAAAAGAAAGGGCGAGTGAAAAAAGACATTTAAAACAGAAGTTCTGGTTAACAGAAATAAAGACAATGTAGCATATTTTGTTTAAGGAACTGGTTAGCGATATAAACATCAACATCAAGACACCCGTTCAGTCAAGATTACTTTATTTTCAAACTGAGAAAACTGCTTCACCCACTACAACAACTTGTAAAGATCCTTAAAGTCAAGAGACAAAACAAATAAATGCGGCTGGCCCACTTTCTAATTATGATGAAATGTCCCTTTTCTATCAGCATATGCCCTAAAAGCCAACAGTTTCTAGCCTGCGCTCTCTTGATGTCGTCTATAACAGTTTGTGTCGTTTCATTTTGCGGTGTTCGTTTAACACTCATCATTGTTATATGTATGATCTTCTTGGTTGGCTGCCTTTAAAAGCTAGACGACAATTTCATTGGTTGATATTTATGTTTAAGTTAATTTATTTTGATTTTCCACTTTATCTAAAAACACTTTTGGTTCCCATTGATTCCTTGTATTCCACCCGCTTAACTACTCTTCCATCATTTGTTGTTCCTCGTTTTAAAAAGGAGGTGGGTAGACTCGCCTTTTGTGTTAAAGCTCCTCAGGACTGGAATAAATTACCCACTGAATTAAGATCCATCTAAACAATTCGTCAATTTTCCCGCACTGTTTATGCTTATGTAAAGCCGAGCTGTAGTTGCTTTGTTTAATCTTTACTATAATGATTTTGTGCATTCACTGGCTAACACGCTGTATTTCGTTGCCAAACTTTGTATTCAAATGGGATATTACTTCACTTTAGGTTTATTTACAATGTAATTTCTTGCCCTTATTTCTCTTTGAGTGCCTCACAGCAGTTTTATTTAATTTAATTTTGTATATAGGTATGTATGTACGTATGTACACGTGTTGGTATCTATGTATCCATGCTTATGTGTTTATATTTACGCGTGTATATATATATTTATATATATCATTAACTTTACTATTATTTACTTTCCTTCTTTTTTTTTAAGTCTGTTATAACTTTCTAACTCTGCCACCTTATTTGTTATTGGTTGTGTTGTAGGAGGACCTGCTCGAAAACGAGATGTTACATCTCAAGCAGTTTATCCTCCTGAAAAACATAAGTTAAATAAATAAATCAATCAATCAATAAAAGCAGGCGGGGTTAGGTTTTGGTGGAAGAAGAAGATATTTAAAATACATTTTTTAATTGATAATTTCAAAAATAATATTTGTTGACAACTGAAAAGACAATCGTTTGTTTTGTTTGTTTTTTTTTGGGTTTTTTTTTTGCGCTCGCCCTTCAGGGCATCCATACATTTTCTCTCCACCAGAGTTTTCGTTGGGTTTACACCCATGCCTCACCAAGGCTGATGTGCAGGTAAAGACGACCTTTCTTTAGCTCCAGGGTGAAAAGGTCTCCTTGAATCCCCTCACTGTGTAACAACAGACCATCCTGCTCCAGAGTCTTGAAGTTTATGGCGATGTGGTCATGCAGAGTACGGGACCGTTTTTCTGGGAACATGTAGACCACTGCATCGTCTCCATTGTACTGCAGCACATAGGAGTCTGGACATAAGGAAAAACAAAATGTGAAAACTGAATGTAACCTCAAATGCTGTTTCTTGTTTGTGCATCAATACATTTAACAATGAAGACGCAGATTTTTTTAAATTATGTGAATCCATGTGCAGCAACTATCAATCATATTTACCATAAGCGCAGCCAAAGAGCTCCAGCCTGACTCCAATCTTTCCTCCATTCTCCGTGTTCCACTCCAGAGGCAGCAGACGAATGTGTTTAGCAGTAAAGGCATAATGGAAGACATTCCTCTTCACCTGATAATAATTCCAGTTACCAGGCAGCGTCTGCAAACAGACGAGATGGGGAACGCGCGGAGAGTTACTGTCGCTGCATCGCCAAATTAAGAGACAGGAGACAAACTGATGATGAGATTAACTTTGTTACTGCTCAGAGAGATCATACACCTGTGCTGTCTTTGTTTCAGTGCCAGCAACTGTAAATATAATAGAGCATCCCTAAATCAACAATAAAGAATTATGTTTGACTGGTTAATCCCCGACTCAGTTCTGCTACCATCCGTCATCGGTTCTGGACACTCACAGAGTTCCCTCCTTTCATGATGTATGGCGTCCAGGAGTCCGGTCGGTCTCCATAGAGAAGTGTGTACTTGGTGACCCAGTCATAGGAGTTGAAGGTCCCCTGAGTTGCTATCGCCAGCAGTCTGTACTTCCTGCCCAGATTAATCTGCAGCCATGGCTGTCTGTCGCTGGTGGACGGGGACCAGCCACTGCTGCCTGAGAGAGGAAAAAACGTTAAATCAGGGCCGTAAAGTTCAAAAAGTTAAATTAAAGGTTTGTAATCTTTATGAGAAGGTTTGATTGTGTCTGGTTGTATTGTTGCGTCTGGGGGTGCATTTTCTGGAGATTTTTCATTTAATAAATTACCTGTTTCACAGTTTATTTACAATTATTTGTAGGAATAACTGTCAAATTATTAAACTTTACTTTTTCTGTACAATATTATGATTATTTTTAATTATTTGTGTGCAAGTGTTAAATAAATCAAAGAAACTGTCTAGGAAGTTTGGGAGGTTTCTCAGTTTATTTGTTTATTTATTTATTTAATAGGATGAATTACAGAGTACTGTGTGCAATTATATATTTGGTTATGTTTTGCTTTCAGCATTTCCAATTCGGAACGATTTTATGATCTTTTTTTATTGAAATAGCACGACTAACGGGTGCAAAAAGCAGAAAAAAAGCCACCTTTGGTGCATTTATTAGAACTTTTGTTGTCTACCCGTCACATGTTTTAAATAGCTGTAGTCAATCAACATCAAACACAAAAATACATTTTTAGAAAACAGTTCAGACCTCACCATAGAGTTTGGCAAAATTGGCAGAGTACAGGAAGTTATATCTGGAAGAGGCCCAGAAGTTGGAGGCAGACAACCCCGAGATGAGTGGATCAACACATTCTCCTGCAAAAACAAAATCATGACTCAACAGTTTAGGGGCTATCTCCAAGGATTTCCTATAATGCAGCCTTCTAATTTCACAGTTTGAGCAAAGCTCCCCCAGAGCTTGACTTTAATTAAGGGTTAGTCAATGCTCTCTAAAACACACATTTGGTCGGATCAGTTCCATTCAAAGTGCCGATGCTTTTAGTTCCTCTTGCTGGAGGGATGGAGAGAACGAGCTCAGTGATCAGGCATCAGTGCACAGCCTCCGTAAGACCAGGTGGACCAGAACTCACAAATCTAGTCCGAACATTCTCTCACAAAGTCTCTTCTTATCTTTATTCTCCACAGTTTGACTGACAATAATAAATTAGACAAGCTGTGATAATATTTCTAATAATAATAATAGTAATAATAATAATAATAGCCTTTATTGTCATTGTACAGGATACAACGAAATTGGAGTGCCACTCCCTTGGTGCACAATACAATAATACCTCTAAATATAAAGGTCACCTAAAACAAAACAATAGTAAGTAACAAAACAATAGTAAGTAACTAACAACACAATAGTAAGTAACAAAAACACTAGTAAGTGACAAAATAATAGAAAGTAATATATGCCGACTAGCACACTATATACAGAACAGCAGCTACCATATCATGTAAAAAAAAATGGCATTAGAATAGCAGCATAATAGTTGACGGTGACCTTGACAGTCGCTAAGCAGTTTTAATTGTTTTTATGCTCATTTACTATAGAGATCGCCCTGGGAAAGAAGCTATCCCTGAATCTGTTTGACCTTGTTTTATGTGACCTGTACCGTCGACCTGATGGTAATAGTTGAAAGACGTGATTGCTGGGGTGAGATTGGTACTTGATGATATTGCTCGCTCTGCTGAGGTACCGAGAGTTTGCAATGACCTCCAGGCTGGACAGAGAGCAGCCAGTGATCTTCTGGGCTGTGTTGATGACCCTCTGCAGTACTTTCCTGTACTTTCCTTCTGAGATGCATTATTAAAAATGCAATAAACTTAACTGTGCATTGAAAAGGACAAATGTGCATCTGACTGTTTAAGGCTAAATGTGATGGAAATCACATGAGTGCGTCTGTGTTGAACTATGTTCTGGAAAAATGCCTGTAACCCCCACCCCCCATGATGAAGTCGAGCAGCATTTTTACCTGATGAGCAGCGTTTCTGTGTGAAGCTGAGACTCAGAGCCCTCGCCCATCTGCTCTGACTCTCCCTCCAGCACAACGCTATTAAAAGTCACCATATTTCAGCCTAATCTTACTTCTGTCGTGTCTGAGAATAAAGGTCTGATGCCCTCGCCTTCAGCTGCAAAAGAAACACTGTCTCATTTAAGTGACAAAATATTGCCTTTAATGTTCGCAGGAGATTAAATCTGCAGCCTAAACATTTTTGGCTGACATAATTTCACTGGAAAGAGAAACTGCTGCTTCAAACACAACTAGAACATTAAAAATATTTTTTCATGTCATTTCCATTAGAGCAGGTTTTTAAAAGAAAATAAAAGTAGCAAAATGCCATCTCATCCTTCACTCCTGAGCTTTAGTGGTCTTGCATATTTTTTGTAGCCCATGTATTTTCTTTACTGCACACCTGAGAGGAGCTTGTGTCATTCACACAAGCGTGGCGTCGGTTACCTAACCCTAACGCTTTGAAAGAACGAGCAGCACATTCAGGCTGAAGAAATGAGCTGAGCAAGAGAAACGTCACCTTGACTTTCCCTCTCTCCGTCCTTTCTGATGGCATTCTCTATATTTATACAGAAATCTCAGCAATGCTGTGAGTGATCAATAATAAATCCATGCTCTGTCACTGCATTGTCCCTTTCCAGCCATCTGTATGCACACCCACACAAAGGAAGTTCTCCTTTTTTGTTTTCAGCTAATGGGTTTGGATGGAAAGCCTTGGCTCCATCTCACACTGCAGCAGGTTAACTGAGGCTACGCTGCTCCTCAGCTCTCCATTACTGCAAACAGTATGGTCACACCCCCACCCAGTCATCGTCTCATTTCCTACCCATCACCCTGACTTATGGCTTATCATCTCCATCCTTGCCTCCAAACACTGTCTTGTTTCTACTTATGTTATTCTCCTGCTTGTGATGATTTTGCTACATTCTACTCTGCTGCCTGAGAAAGCACCTTTCCATGAGGGAATTGTCCTTTTGCACTTTAGAGAATCCAGTTTCCAGGTCTTCTTCTATTTGATTTTGCACTTGAAACTCCCTTTGCTGCATCACCCAACCTCTCATTCTCCATGTATCACAGAGGTGGAGGCTGGCCGACCATTCCTGCTGAATCATCAGCCTGCTTCTGTGCAGGCGGGTCTGTCCGAGGCTGACGCATCGTTACTGCCACTTGCATTCATTATGCAGAGTGGGGACTACTCTGAAAGTTGTCACTATACTGCAGGGCTACTGAGGATCAAAGCAGCAGCTCTGAAGCATCAAAATCATCACACCTAATACAGCAAGAGGAAAACTGCAAACTAAAACATGCTGGCTGAATTATTCAAAAGGAATCTCGGTGCAATGTGTCCAGCTGCTTCTTGGGAGGAAAACACATCGGACAGAAACATTTTAAACTTTAATTTTCTGCTATCAACTGAATTTCATAAACTCCTTACATCTTACATGCGTGTAAATAGATTGCACATTCTAATTCAGACACAGTGAACTTAGAGGACGTTTTGCAGTCCCACCCAAAGATGGGTCACAGTGCTCAGGGAGCTGACTCTCCATCTCAGTTAGGTACAGCACCACTGTGCATCCCCACATGGCGGACAAATTGCTGACCTGCATTCTCAACAGGAGTCTGAATCACAGGCTTCCACATGCAGTCATACAGTTTGCACCAACTCCCCGTTGTCAGTCAAGTCTGTTTTAATAGAACTGCATGACTGATTCTGGTTTGAAAGCCAATACCAATTTCCAGTTGCTATACAGCCTTGAAATGCAGAGACCGAACTCCAATATGATTGTTTTAAATTAGTGATGTTCTTGAAAATGTAATTTTGCCCCATTTGGTATTATTTTCCTTGGGTTTTTATTTTTGCTCTGTTCATCTGGGCCTTCCCTCAGCACTCCTGTCACTAATCATGCACACCTGTTTCCCACTGACTCACCTGTCCCTGTTTAATATCACCTCCCTGTGTGTTTAGGCACCCCGGTTCCACTTGCTCTTACGTCCTGGTTTTCATGTCTTGTTGCTGTTACTTTTCTCTCCTCCCACATTTTATTCCATTAGTTATTAGTGTTTTAGAGTTGTGCCTGCCTGCCTCCTGGAGTAATCATCCTGCACTCTATCAACACAACTCATTTTAAAATGATGTGCAAAAAAATCATCCATGTTGACGTCCAACTGTAATTCTGCATAAACTCCAGAACAACATGATGCTGGAGCAGACCATGAGCACTGACTGTCAACACCTATTCAGACCTTCACAGTATGCAACCCCCAAACTGTCCAAAAGTCACATGACATCCCAGCCCTGTTCCCTAAAATAGTCGGAGACCATCTGATGTCATCAGAAGCCTGACATTTAAAAGAAAAAGCTGATCATTATGGGCTGCAGTTGTGCGATGGAAGGGTGCACCCCTGCCACCCCCACCCACCCCAAAACAAAAATAGAAAGACACCCAATCCTTTAAATTCCCCCCATCTGAACGTTTTAATGGTTATGCAGAGCCAAATCAATTCCCAGCAGGTGGCTGCTTGAAGCAGGGGACAGGTGATGGAGGCTCAGGATGCCCAAAAAAAGAAAGTACTGCAGTGGGCTGGTCCTGAATACGGACTAAGCCCCGTTTTCTCATCCGTCACCGCATTTCCAAAATGTATCCATCTAATTTCCAACTCCACTGTATGTAACTAACGCTGGCTTTCCCAGGGTCATCAATAGACAGTTAAGAATATTACAGATGGTGATTTGTCAACAAAGTAGAGGTGAATCTGCACGCCGCAGAAACTTGCGTGCAGGCTGTCGGAGAGAAAGCACTGCAATGCAGAAAGAGGGACCAACATGCGCACCCTCTGCGGGACCGACGTATGCTGGAGCACTTTATCCGGCAGCCTTTGAGACTTCAACAGCCAGCAAAAGAAAAAGAATGAATGAAAGCAGCGCAGGAAACGAAATGATTCGTGATGGAGGACCGTGTCGTTGACCGCAGCATGCGTTGCCCTTCAAACATCCCATCACCTCAGCCGACATTAGGCTATGCCGGGTTATTTCCCACCCATTTAAACCTCATCTGCAACTTTTTCAGCACGTTAGCCAGCCTAAAACAGTTTTCACCTCAGAAGTGTCCACACATTCAGACATAAGCCTTTGTTAAAGCACGAGTGTTCACTTACGTGATGAGCAACGTTGAACCCCCCAAAACAAGAGGCACATGCCTAATATTTTGCAAGTCATCCTTCTCTCAAAAAACGTCTCTTATGTTAATTAGATCGCAGATTCCTCCGCAGCACCCTCTCAGCCACCGTTTGGCCCAACTTTAACTCGCGCGGCTCCAACTCCTCCACCCGGGATCTCGGGCAGCCTCTACCGGGGCGGGGACGCGCTTCGGAGGCTGGTGCTAATGCTGCGCTTCGCCGAGAACGCGCATTTCTTCTTTAATATCCCTTAAATTGTCCACTTTACATTATCATCTTGTAATAAAGTTGTTTCTGCGCTGGAAGTGTGCGTAAATGTGGACAACAGAGCTGCGGGTTGGCCAGGCGAGTCTCCTGCGTCCCCTTCCACTCCAGTCTGGAATTTCAACTGCGGAGGAGACGACTTGGGAGAAAGATACATAACTTTTAAAGCCTGCTGTAAAGTATTAAAATGTTGTGGATGACCTCAATCCTCAAATTATGGTTTGTGAATCAGTGTCATCATCAAAGATGAAGACAGTAATTTAAATGTTGTCCCTTTCTTTGTCCATTATAGCTCCTTTTGGTGCAGATACAAGGTTTTAAACTGCAAATGCAGTGCAGTGGTGTAGGATGCTGTCTTTGTGTCCAGGACTGCAGATCAAATCAAATCCCAAAAATAGATATCCTTTGAGGAAAGCAAAGCCAGAGGATGACGATCCAAGCAGCAGCGCTGACGTCCTGCTGCTTCTCCAAGCTTCTTTCATGCGTTTTTAAAGGTTCTACAGATGTGAGCTGAGCCTGACCTCAGATTCATCCTTGGGATCACACACACACACACACACACACACACACACACACACACACACACGCCGACGTGGGGGTAGGATGAAGCAAAGCAGGATTTGCAGTGACTGGTGGCACACTGACCATAAAATAAACAAAAGAGCTTTGGGATTAAGAAGTGGGTTTATGGGACGGCAGTGTGCCAGCAATAATGGGAGATTGAATGTTTGAGCCATCGTCGGATTTGCAGCATTTCCAATCAAATCAGATTGTTGGCTTGTAAGCTCCCCTTCACTGGCATCTTCCCTGAAATACCAGAAGAGCAGAACTATTAGGAGGAGATGATGACATAAAGACAGGGAGGACCTCTTAGGTCAAAGCAGCAGGAACAGGGTTTGCATCAATTACAAGAAAATCAGAATGATTCTAGATTGTGTTTCAAGCAGATATTATTGTAGTCCAGGTCTCATTCTTGGCTTTTGCCAATAAAAACTTGCCCAAATGTAGCAGAAGATTCAAAACCTTTTACGGGTTGATATGAATAGTTTTTATGATCAGAGTGAAACTCGTTGTCACCTCCCACACATCTGCACCTATAGCTCATATATGGCAGATTATTAAACTAGATCACCATCTGTGTCCTGTTTTTTGTTTAGATTAGACTTTAGGACAACCATGTAAACCCGTTTAAAGAGGACCTTTGATCACCGGGAGTGGTTTTGTGGATGAAACAACTCAAGCAGAAAAACATCAGGGCAGAAGTTTCTGAAAACACAGTTTAATCATTGTGACTCTCCAAAACATTTATAAATGTTCATGATGAATCAGGTAGACTCATTATTATTATATTATACCCTTATATGGATCATTTTTATGGTGTTGTTTTAAAGAAAGAAAGACTCAAACACTGCTGGTCCCCAAAGAGCCACACTCTTCAACTTTAACCCTCTGGAGGCCGGCGTTACAGATTAGCAACGTTAAAACCCACCGACCTGGTTACTCCACATATGTATTTAAATGGTAAATGGCCTGTATTTGATATAGCGCCTTCTAGAGTCCTGGAACCCCTCAAGGTGCTTTACAACACAATCAGTCATTCGCCCATTCACACACACATTCACACACTGGTGGGGATGAGCTACAATGTAGCCACAGCTGCCCTGGGGCACACTGACAGAGGCGAGGCTGCCGAGCACAAGCACCACCGGTCCCTCCGACCACCACCAGCAGGCAACGTGGGTTAAGTGTCTTGCCCAAGGACACAGCGACAGCGACAGACTGAGCGGGGCTCAAACCTGCAACCTTCCGATTACGGGGCGAGCACTTAACTCCTGTGCCACCGTCGCCCCACCATGTATTTCATGAGCATTTTTTAACTCAGAAGTACCCCTGAAGGACTTAGTTGTTCGTCCTTTTATCAAAACTTATTTTGAGCCTGAGAGGGTTAATTCAACAGGTAAACTAGTAGTAGCACATTTCATGTCAAGGAAGTAAAGTGTTATTATCAGGAGAGGGAGAATGTTTAAGTGGTTAGCAACAGTGTTCAAGCCTCTATGAGGCTCCCACAGCTCAGCAGAATATCATTGTAGCTTCTTCATCGGGAGAAAAACACTTCGAGGAAAAATAACGTTAACAGCTGAAATAGCAGGAAGTAATACAGTTAAAGAGCAGACTGTAGAAGAAAGTAGTCGAGTGTGGAAAGTGATCAGTGTATTCTCCAGTAGTCTAAGCCTATAGCAGCATAACTACAGAGATAACTCTGGATAACCTAGCCTTTTAGATGGAGGCATGTTGGAGGCTGGGCAAGGGAGAGCCATATATGTAATGATTTCTAAGTGGTTACTTTTATAAAATTGTCAATAGAATATAAAGACATTCGATAAAATGTAAAATTCCATAAAAATGTGGATTAGCGTATAAATATTTTCGACCCTTTAGTATTCGATTCACGATGAAACCAGGTACTTTGGGTAGTGCCAGGGAAACAATACTTTATAATTATTTGACAAAAAGCCAAAAATATAGTTTATAAAAATCTATTTTTACTATATTAATGATGATGAAAGGCAAATGATTATAAATAGTGATTCAAAGTGATGTTAAATGACACAATGAAGGAAGTCTGATGAAACATGATCTTGTATGTTTAAGGAGCTTCACTAAGTGACTCAGAAAGCTGTGGTGTCTGGGTTTATAAAATTAATTTGATGTAATTTAACAAGTTATTTTATTAATATCGACCACTCTGACGCCTCAACTAAATATTTTAGAGCAGGAAGTTGTTTTCCTTGTGAATGCCATTTTAGTAGAACTGATTTAATTTTTCACATTTTGTGTTATTGCTTTAAAACCCGCTCAAACCTAATCTGGCCACCGTCACGGTCAATCCAAACCAAAGCAGCTGTTTTAATGAGCTATTTTGTTTCATAACTTGTTTATCTTTATTTTAAAGGTAAAGTTTTAACTTTCACCACTAGATGTCAGATAAAGACCAGGTCTGCTTTGCTCCAGTTGGATAGTCCACTTGCTTGTCCCAGACATCATTTTTAGATGTTTTTAAAGTATTTTTGTCATTAAAATGATTTCTTTCCGTGAACCAAACCAGTGGCCTGCAGTTATACAAAGTGTGGCTTTGCACACAGATAAGAATCATTTGGTTTCACCTCAAAAGATTCAACAAAGCATCGTGTCCTAATTTAGTTTCCTTTAAGGTCCTTTAAAAACTCCCTCTGATCTGTGGACTCTCACACCAGCCTTGTTTCTCACAGAGATGTTTTTGTTTGTTTTGTTTTGTTTCAGTGGGATCAGATTTGACACAAGTCTGACCACATTAACACCTTCCATGATTTCCATAGGGGCACTGTCATACACCAGCAGGTATTCTCCCAAACGGAAACACACCTTGATCACAGGTGTACACAGATGTTCTCATAAACAGGAGCTAAGTTACATCTCTGACCCAGATACTCCCACAAAGTCATTTTGCTGCACTGTCTTCATGGATGAGCGCAACATGTCATGACATTAGATGAAAGATTCTGTCATTATCTGGATGCTGAACGCAGGTTTTTGATGTCAAACACAAAACAAAAGCATCAAACACCAGCAGGGCTTGTTGGAAATGAGAAGCAGGAGGTAGAGGATGAGAGATGCTACTGGACTCTGACGAGACAGCTGTTTATTTTGGCCGCTGCCTATGGAAATTTGATTTTAGTACTCCTGGATAAGTTGATGTCATTAGGACCAACGAAGCAGCCTTCCTCCCGGTCTTTGCACACCATTATGACCTCCTGTGTGCACAGTCCAAAACAATCCCACCAGGAAATGTGCAAACTTGTTTCTTTCCTCTGAAGAAAGTCCCGCAGTTTTGGTTCAGTTACTGTGTCCTGGACAGCTGCTGAGTCCTGTTAGACTCACGTCACAAAGTGGACATGTTTTTAATTTAGGAAGCTGTCTGCTGAGGAAAGGTTTTACAGCTGATCTGTATAGTAGAAGAGAATTCATATGCAGGGGCAGATCTAGGGAGACAAAGGGGGCAACTGCCACCCTGCTGTGGGGCCCTGCCCCCCTCGTCTATCTCCTACGTTCACATCCTTAACATATGCTTATTTGTCTATTATGCATTTATTTTTTGAAGCATTTGCTTGCAAAATGCTTGCTTTCATATTTCTACCTGAGTGTCTTTGGTGTTTTTAGAAGAAAAACTGATGCAATAAATAGTTTTAAAGCTGGTCACAGCACAACTGAGCAGAAAGTACCTTCCCTGTGTAGTTCTTCGAGCATTAGAAAATGTAATATTACAAACCATTTAAAGTTAGAATATGGAACATTTTAATAAAAAGCTGTGTTTAAAAATGGTTCGGAGATTTGCAGAATGAATGTAGAGTTTCTCATTTTAAAGCTATAATTAAAAAGATAAATAATCAAATTTTTATTCTGTCGGGCACAACACTGTTTATGTTTACATCCACCAGCCGCTAGAGGGCACCGTTGTGCTCAAAAGTCCACTCATCAAGGTCAAATCAAGGTCAAATCAAATCACTTTTATTGCCACATCACATGTGCAGGTACACTGGTACAGTACATGCGAGTGAAATTCTTGTGTGCGAGCTTCACAGCAACAGAGTTGTGCAAAAATACAGTAATGTAAAAACAAGCAAAATATAAAAATGGCTAATCTAAGTAATAATATATATAGTATGTAAGGTATATACATTACTAAATGTGTGTGCTAAGTATTTTATTTTTTTATTTTTCTATGTGTGTGCGTGTGAGTGTGTGTATAGTCTGTATATACATGTTTTACAAATGAATAAAGTAAACAATAAGATAAGAGATGTAAAATATACAGTGGTTGGTATGTGGAAAACAGTGGCATTAATGTACAGTATGGAGTGTGTAATGTTGGAGTTTCAGTAGTGAGGGTGAGGTGTCTGCGACGTGTTCAGCAGTCTGATGGCCTGATGGAAAAAGCTGTCTGTCAGTCTGCTGGCTCTGGACCGGATGCTGCAGAACCTCCTTCCTGATGGAAGTAGTCTGAACAGTTTATGGCTGGGGTGACTTGAGTCCTTGATGATCCTCCCCGCTTTCCTCAGGCACCGCTTCCTGTAGATGTCTTGGAGGGAGGGAAGCTCACCTCCAATAATCCTTTCTGCACACCGCACCACTCTCTGGAGAGCTTTGCGTTTGGAAGCGGTGCTGTTGCCATACCAGGTGGAGATGCAACCAGTGAGGATGCTCTCAATGGCACAGCGATAGAAGGTCCTGAGGATGCGGCAGCTCATGCCAAATCTTTTCAGTCTCCTGAGAAAGAAGAGGCGCTGCTGTGCCTTCTTCACTGTATTGTTCGTGTGCTGACCACGTAAGATCCTCTGCCAGATGAACTCCAAGGAAACGGAAGCTGCTCACCCTCTCCACAGCGTCGCCGTTGATGGTGATGGGGGTGTGTATTCCTCTGCACCTCCGGAAGTCCATTATCAACTCCTTTGTCTTTGTGACGTTGAGGGTGAGACGGTTGTCCTGACACCAGTGGGTCAGGGCGCT